TAAGATTGGTTGTAAATTTAAAAAAAAAAAAAAGATTCTATTAGGTAGAAATGTTAAAAGCGAAATACTACCAACTCACTCACTGACCATAAGATCTCAAGAACAACAAGCCCTTTGAAGTTGATTTTTTAGAAAAGGGATTCCTCTTATACTCCATGTGTGCACTGACACATTTTAAACAAATTTTTAATTCAGCATTTATGTGGCCTAAAATGACCTCAGTCCTAAACATATTAAAATCAATGTTTTTTTTCATAATGTGCTTCTTAGTTTGTGTTTTGTTATCAGTTTTATGCATTGAATATGCCTCATTTTATATTAGCCAATGGTGCACATCCAACAAGAATATTTATACTTAAACTACTATCTGAAGTTATATATCACCAGCTGATGTAGAGACTGCTTTCTTTCAATAGCGTTGGATTATTCTGTTGTGTTTAATGTCATTTGTTTCGACAATAAAATAGCGATATCTCTGCATGCCTAATCTCCATATTGATATACCGGTTGCTCAGTAGGGTTGTTTTGTTATAATGTTTTTCATATGCGAGGACAAGGATGGCCGAAGTCAAAGGTGTAGGAATTGGAGTGCACAGGGGGTACTTTTTCTTTTTAATGAGGGACATCATTTTTGGCCAACAACAGAAGGGGTGATAAAATCCTGGCCTGCCCAGGATAGCACTAACCCTAGGTACGCCACTAACCCATTTTGAAATGCCTAGGGTGAAATGCTTAGGGTCAAAACATTTGAATGATGTTTTCTTTTTGATTCTAAGCATTTCACAAGGTTCTGAACTTCAAATTACACAGAGGAAGTAATATTGCCATTCACTTAAAATTACGAAAGCACAGAGCTCAACACAGAATAAAATAAACACATTACATAGCTTTAGAAGTTTACATGAGACACAAGATGGAGATTTACAGTAAAAGTGCATTGGTCCGGTCCTGTCTTTTAAGAGAAATTTCAGGGCCAGAGGTTCAAAGGAAACACATGCAGTGGTCATTTCGACATTAGAATTTTGTAGTTTTCTTTTTAATTGTATGTATTTGAATTTTTAAAGGTTTCAATGCCAACTCAGCTATTAATAAGGTATTACACATGTTAATTAATTCACACTAAAGTGCGACCAGTTTAATCAGGACCGGCTTTCTAGGTGGGTAAAGGTAAATAACAGATCAGTGACATTGGTGACAACATAATGGATGATATTGAAAATATAAATGAATTAGTTGAGCATTCTTAGACAGTCTAGAAAATTAAAACTTGGAGCCAGGGAGAGCCTATAAAAACAACATTATAAAGGACATGGAGAACTGGCTATGGGGTTTCTTTCAAACTTTGGTGAAAAACATGACATTTGACAGTCATTTATTTGCATTGAAAGACATGCATTTACAAATCTACTGCTTTCTAGCGTAAGACAAGGAAATGGTGATTTAAATAGCCTTCTATAGCAGCAACATTTTTGGAAGATGGAAAAACGACTCACTTTGCCTTCCATTTCCAAGCCAAACATCAGACTCAAAGTGTCCATAATGACAGTTAATAAATAGCTTACTGGCGTGAAGGCAGAGAAATTTACACATGGTTGTTTTGATTTGGCTTTAAAGGAAGAGCTATTCTTACATCCCAAAACAACACGGCAGCCAGCATCAATGCTTCTTGATTGGATCAACTTCCAACTAAGATTGTGAGACATCCGTCTGTGGTTGAGGTAGAGGATGTGGTTCACTACCCACTTAAGTTCCTTCACACTTTAAACCAAACAGGGATTCTACCACACACCCCCACAGGGATTCCACCACACAATCCTAAGTCTCAAAGTTCATACTCCAATCATGCTCTGCCCAATCTGACACCACCTTAAATATTGCAATGCCAGTTTGCAGGTTAAAGCCTGACACAGAAATGTGATTGAAGCAACACTATTCACTGGCTGTGGGTGCGGGAGAAACAGTTTTAATACCCTTAATTCCTGTGATCCCCTCCGACTACAACATTCAGTTTGAGTGACTCAAGTTTCCTGTCAAAGACTACTTCGCCAGGACAATAGACAAAGGGGAAGGGCACTCTTCTCAAGTAGCTGCAACGGATTTAATGAACGGCTGAGTCTCAGCATTTTTTGGCAAACAGAAAATATAATGGATGTTTGAGATGACAGCCTTGGGAGCTCGGGAGTTGCACACAGGAAGCTTCATGTTGACTTTTAAGGTTAAAGGGCAAGTTCATCACTTAAGTGTGTTACCTTCAGCTCAAGGAAATCCTTCATTTTGACACATATATTTTGCTGGCAACCATTTTAAATAGGCAGAAATTCTGTATAACCCCCCTTTCCTGTTGTAAAGGTTTGATAAGTAGGTCAAATTTAAAAAATGCAGCATGATCACAATCCATAGATAAAAGCTATTGAACTGCTGTAATATTGAGATTGTAACACTGGAGTTTGTGATTTCTATTGTGATTGTAGCCCCTAGACAACGGAGAGTCTACTGCCCCCAACAAACATACCTACCGCGGGAGTTGTTCATGTGACAAGAAGGAAGATCCTAACAGGTGCAAGTTATTAACCTTGGGAATATTGTAACAGTCAGTATTATCAGCTTATTTGCTATTGAGTGAATCAATCCCTCAATGAGAACCAATTGATTTCTTTGGCCAATGAAACGCTTTCACAGGTACATCGCCTTGAGTTTTGGAATAAGTTCAAATCTATTTCTTTAGAAACTATGAAGATGAGAGCTCTCCCATCAATGGGAAACTTACTGTGCTTATCAGTTTCATTATCTGATTCGGAAACAGCAGATGATGACACGGTGCCGTTGACATTTAATGCATTATCATCCGCTGCTGTTTTGTCATTTGCTGTATCCGTAAGGTCATCAGCAATGTCTCTCTCCTTTTTCACTTGTTTCTTTTGATGATGTCGTTGAGATGGATTGTTTTTCCTCTTCTTGTGTTGCTTTAAGATCTAGAAAGAAAATAAGTTTATAAACTATTAGTTTCTTTTAGACTTCATTTGGAATAACTATGATTTTACGCTCAAGAAGAAGTTATCAACTACCGGTTAGATAGATCATTGATATCATACTCATTTAACAAAAGTTATTAAGTCAAAATTTCAGTATTTAATAATAGAGTGTTGTCATTGGGTTAAGTGAACAGGCCAACAAAAGCACACCTTTTTAAACTGCAGGTAAATATACTCCACTGATCTAAAACAAAAGCACACCTTTTTAAACAGCAGGTAAATATACTCCACTGATCTAAAACTATTTACACAAGCCAGGAAATATATTAACATGCTGAAGGAGCAGTTTTATTTTAAGGCTTTATAAAAAAAAATAAATTAAAAAACCCACAAATATGTCATTTGTTATGTGACTAATAATTTAAGTTATTTAAATCAGGAGAACTAATTATTTATAGTTATAATAGAAACAAATAAGACAAAGTAATGACCAAAACTTCTATTTTAATACAGAAATTCTGCGCCCCCCTCCCCTCGTATTGTGTTAGTCCCCCTTTCTCCAGGTCATCTATTTTAAGTTAATCAAGATACCTGTGGGTTGTTAGAGAAAGGGTGATGAAAGAGGCGAGTGAATGATGACCAAATTTAGAAAAAAGAAAATATAAAAGATGAAACTGACAATAACTTTCTTCATATAAATTATAGTTTGCAAGAAAAAAACCCCATTGCCGTGGGTCCACAGCTCCATATCCCAAAGAATTATGCTGATGTTTTTACCTCATCACAATATAACTGATCCAAACAATTAATAGCATGGTATGAATGGGGATAATGCTTGAGTATGCAACTAATCAAACAGAACAATCATCAATATATACAAATATTAATAGGTAAATCCACTAATGAAACGTTTATCAACATTAAGCATTACAAAAGTCAGCCCAAATAATATCGCTTGGTTCACAATAGTTGAGGAAATAACATAATTTTTTTGTTTAAAAACTGACAGTTTTGAGGAATGATCATGCTCTTAAAAAAAGTGCACACTTCTAAATTGTTGCACAATTATTCAAGAACAGCCATGCAAACAAAATACAGGAAATAGACATGCCCACATAATAAGAGAAAGAACACCTAAATAGCGATTCAGACATACAAAGAGAAAAATAATATTAATGAAGATAAATAATACTTTGATTTAATTAATTGTTCTCTAACACGATAGCATGCCCTCATTTACCCTGAATAATATGAAAAGTTTATGCTAAGATTCTGACTAACTACTTTATTTTTTTTCAATGAGTTGATGAATCTTGGCAAAACAAATTGGAGTAACAGGCACATACATTAAGAAAAAGTTTGAGATTGATCTGACATCAAATCAGATTTAAAGGAATCAGCTTACAACTAAAGCATAACATTAAGTCACTAATCATCTCTTTATGCTAATCCTTTTTTTTTTTGTTCTTTGTTTACAGCATTTAAGAAATGGACAACTAACAAAGTCATGCAAGGGTTGCGGTTACTGTGTTGCTGGAGACCATCAAGTGTTTCTAAGCCTAAGTAGGCTACCAACTGTGGACTGCCAATTATGTCTGTTTCCATATAGCATGTGAGAGGCAACAAGATAACAATAGGATGACACTCAAAGCTGGAATGCTCTTAAATCTAAGGATGACCCTGCACCGTTTACTTTTAGATCCCTGCAGTTTTTGTGTGCATAAAATAACAACAACAAAAATTGTATACATTTTCCCATTTTTATCAGGAAGCTCTCCCTACACTCAGAGATTGCACAGTATTCCCCAAAGACTAAATCTCCAGTACTGGAAAATAGGAAACAATTAAAGAGCAGAACTTAATTTCTAAAGTAATAACAATAAAGCTGGAACTGTCCACAGATGGTAGAAACACTTATATACCTGTTTACCTTTGCTCACTGACTGCTCACCTAAAACACCTGGGCAGTGGGTGCTAGGGTCAGCTTCTTGTAACTGCGGAGGGGTGTTCCTCTCCTCTGTCACACAGCCAAGCTTTTCAATGGTCAACACGGGAGGAATTTCATTCATAAATGATTGAACTTTCTTTCGCCGATTATTATTCTTGTTTCTCTCTGCGTGGGGCGGCCGAGCTTTCTTTGAGATTTTAGGGGCACGACTTTGCTTTGCCGCCACAACGGTTGGGTAACAGAGTGCTTGGGAATTGGCCAAACGGGAACTTGTGATTATAGGTTGAGGAACTAATTGCCGAGCCGCTGGTAAAATGCCGGTTGGGAAAGAAAAGAGGGCCTTGGTGCTAAGGGAGAAACGGGTTTGATGGAGGAACGATGAATTAGACACGACATTAGTAGTGGACGTACGAGAGTTACACAGACCTTTATCATCTGGCCATGTTCTCACCTGGGAAGCTGAACTTGATAGCTCGATATGAGATGGGTCAGCCAAGTCTTCTGGTCGCTTCTTCTGTTCTGCCTCGGGAGCCCTGGATTTCTTTTTCTTCGGCAGAGAATGCCGAGAGGTCTCTTGAATAGCGACAGAACTGGGCAAGGGTGAAATATCATCTGTGTTAATGACAAGATCCATGGATCTGTCTGAATCGGGCGAATCTTCAGCATGACAAGAGAGAGATTCTTGCATCAATAAGTTTGTATCACTGAAAGGAACAGAGGACTGTGACTCTGAGCACATTTGTTTTAGGTCAGACATTGTCAAGTCTGTTCGCATATCAAAGTTGGAATGAAATATCTCATTATAGGAAGAAGAAGATGACAGCGGCGAAGTTGGACCATTGCTGTCGTGAGCTGGGCTGCGCAAAGGGACATCGATGGACTGGCCATTGTCCAATGGGTCAGTGTGACACAAGCTTAGAGTTGGCATTTTGTCACTTAGGGCGGGGGATAACGATGGTGGCCTTGACTGTGCCTGGAAATTTGAGATAGCACCTGGGGTCCCCTTTTGGCAAGTTAGCTCAGGTATTGTGACATGTGGTGGAGTGAGAGGAACAGATGGTCTGGTCTGTGGTGTCAGAACAGGACAACTTGCATGGGAGGCAACTATTTGGGGAGACAAACAAGGTGCATCAGATGCAGAATCTGATGTACTGACATGTAGGGGTAAAACATTATTCCCACTGTCGTGGGAGAGACTTGAGACCTGCCGGCTACTATAAATCAGAGTCCCTCCACTATGAGCCATTTGAAGTAAAGTCTCGGCAACAGAAACACTGCTGCTTGAAGAAGACGCATCGGAAATTTTAATCAACTGGTTGGCGACAGGTGCAGTCGGGGGGTTCGGTCTAAGTTCAGGTAAATATTTTTTGGAACGTTTTCGTTGGGGTTTGTCAATCAGCTTGACCCTCTGCTGCAAGAGTTTGGCCTGAGCTAACATTTCCTTAACACACTCGTTGACAGAATCAGTTTCCTTTTGACTGTGTGGCTGCTCCTGTGCTGGGCTCTCTCTAACATCAGGTGGCACGTCTACAGTCTTTTTCAGTGATGCAGTGCCTATAGCATTCTGCTGGCCTGGACTGAGTTTTGAAGTACTAGCATAGTTATGGATGGTTAGCAGGTCTGCTTTTTTGTCAGTATTTTGGAGAGTGACTTGATTTGCTTGTGATATATTAGAGGATGGATTAGTTAATCTGATAATTTGTGCATGAGCTCCTTTGTAAGGAGGCTGAATGGTGTGTATTGGCAGCAACAGTTGAGTTGGACCAGTGGTCACTTGGCTGTTGTGTGTTGGTAACAACTGTTGAGTTGGGCCAGTGGTCACTTGGCTGTTGTGTGTTGGTAACAACTGTTGAGTTGGGCCAGTGGTCACTTGGCTGTTGTGTGTTGGTAGCAACTGTTGAGTTGGGCCAGTGGTCACTTGGCTGTTGTGTGTTGGTAACAACTGTTGAGTTGGGCCAGTGGTCACTTGGCTGTTGTGTGTTGGTAACAACTGTTGAGTTGGGCCAGTGGTCACTTGGCTGTTGTGTGATGGCAGCAATGGTTGAGTGGATGAGTTGATAGTTTGTGGCTGAGAGGTGCCAGCTGAAACAACTTGCTGAGACTCTGACTTTGAACCAAGGTTTCTGCTGACCTGGTCAGTAGGCTGGGCCTTCAAGCAGCCTGCAAGGAACTGGTTGGAGTTAAACACAAACTGATTGGGATTGTTATGCTGCTGTGTCAAATGGTTTAACAGCAGAGGTGCCATTTGGGTTTTTGCTGTTTGTTGCTGTGCTGAGTTAAACATGCTGCTGAATGGAACAGTATTCCCATAGCTTTGATGCATGATTTGAAATGCCACAGAATTCTGCAAGGATTTCTGTGCATTGTTTTGTGGATAAGCATTGGTAAGATACTGCGGATTGACTATGCTAATTAAGGGGCCATTTATTCGCTGCTGCTGTGTCACCGTAATAGCTCCTGGACCGCCATCAAACTTGGGTTGTGACCCCACATTAGACACAGGATTAGCTATAATAAAATGCTGATTTGAAAGGCTGGCATTTGCTGAAGGACCCTGAAGTGGAGAAGTCTTGTGATTGACTGCTTGGACAAGAACCTGTTGATTTTGACTGGAGCTGCCATTTTTTGAAACCGTCATAAACTGTTGGGGGATAGCACTGAACTGCAAATGGGTTGCTTGAGGGTGTGACGACGATACATTGCCATGATGTGCAGGTAATGATGTCTTCAGCTCCTGCTGAGGGTGTGATGACGATACATTGCCATGATGTGCAGGTAATGATGTGTTCAGCTGCTGTTGAGGGTATGATGACGATACATTGCCATGATGTGCAGGTAATGATGTGTTCAGCTGCTGTTGAGGGTGTGATGACGATACATTGCCATGATGTGCAGGTAATGATGTGTTCAGCTGTTGTTGAGGGTGTGATGACGATACATTGCCATAATGTGTAGGTAATGATGTCTTCAGCTGTTGTTGACAAGTGAAAACACCAGTAGTAGCACATTGCAGAGGCTTAGCTTGACTTGTATTGCTACAGCTAGTCGTCGTATTATGTTTAATCACCTGTAACCTTGGACCTTGCTGCACTGATATTACTTGGGCCACTCCACTACTGGACATAGGGAAGTCTTTAGGGACATTTTGCATATTGCTGTTCTGTACACTCGTCTGATACAGTGAAGCTGGATTTATTTCTACCAGCCTGCCGTTCATGGCATACCTCATGTTTCCCAAAGAGTCAGTTTTTTTTTCCTGGCATGCAGCCAGATAAACAGAATGTGTGGCACCAAAATCCGTTGAATGTAACTCACTTGCTTTTGTTTTGACAGCATTCATTTGATTGTTTACTTGCACATTTGAAGGTCTTGTGCCCATTGGCACAGCTGCACTCTGCACAACCAAATTCCTGTTCCCAATTGTTGGAAAGTTTCCAGAGAATGTGGAAGGGATGAAGTTGTGGTGAGATTGAGGATGATGTGGCTGTATAGTATGGGCTGGTTGTACAGTGTGAGATGACTGTACCAGTACACCACTGCCTGGGTGTACAGTGTGAGATGACTGTACCGATACACTACTGCCTGGGTATACAGTGTGAGATGACTGTACCGGTACATTACTGGCTGGGTATACAGAATGGGGTCGTAAACCGTGAGGTGGTTGTACAGTGTGCGGTTGTTGGAAACCGTGAGGTGGTTGTACAGTATGGGGTTGTTGGAAACTGTGAGGTGGTTGTACAGTATGGGGTTGTTGGAAACTGTGAGATGGTTGTACAGTATGGGGTGTCATGTGTCCAACAGATGCATACTCTGATGAGGCATCCCTCCTTGCTACCAAGTTGTGAGAAGTCTGTTGGTTGGGAGACACACCTGCAGCGGTCTCAGTTGGAAAAGCTGTTTCGCTCCTGGGGGTAGGTTGGTGGCAGACTTGGCCTACCGTGTCATCTATAGAATTTGTTATGGAGTCTGCAAACACTTTGGCACATTTATTGTTGAGGAATTCTCCACCTGCTGGGATTGGGCAAGTGCCACCGTTAACTGGACCTGTCCACTGGTTGACATTGTGCTGTTGCTGAGAAGCGATACTATTCCCAACGGTCTGGCCAGTGCTAACAGGAGCGGTGACACAGCCTTTGGATGAATTTGAGTGGTCGTTAAGAGCAGAGATTTTGCCAGCATTCGTAAGAGTAGAGATTTGAACGTAGCCTGGTAGAGGCCCATTCCTCTGCTGACTTCCACATCCTGGCGCAACACTGGCTGACGGTTTACTGTCACATGACGCGGCAGACCCGCGAGTGTCGTTATGTATGGCATTCCACACGTTAGTTGTAACTTTCTGATCCGCCCTCTCTGCTTGTGACTTAAAGCTCATGAACTTATTAAAGGGAGACTGGACAGAGCTGTTGACTTGAGCACTCCCTCTATTCGGGGATAATGTATTGTTGGTGAGCATAGATTTCAACTCAGAACTCCTAACCGGCTTTGGATAAGTCAGCTCCTCCTTAATGGCAGACACCCTATTCTCCAGAAGATTCGGTCCCCCCTGTGGCAAAATAGTTCTGAGGAAAGCCTCTTGGAAAGCCGACATCTGTTTTGGCTCTGGCTTTTCCTCTTTGATAACAGTTTGCGCAGGCGGCTTCAAGTATTCCTCGATGATTTTCTTTTTGGAGAGTTCCTCCGGCGGCGGCTGACAGGAAACATTTTTTAAGTCTAGTTCAGAGCATCTGTCATCAGTTTGTCTTTTATTATCCTCGCACTGCTGAATTTTAATGAGATCAGACTTTTTAACTTTAGCTCTCTTTTTTGGAACAGGGCTTTCATCAGCATTAGCGGGAGATAGCTTGCACTTTTTTGTGCTTTTAGCTTTGGTTTTAGAAGCATCAGATGAGTTTTCAGCTACCTTGTCTACACTGGATTTTGGAAAGTCATCTCTCAAAGGGTGTCGCCGTGAGTGGGCCGTCCCAGAACTGTTGGCTTCTATCTTTTTCTTGGACCTGTCAAGCATGACCAAACAACAAATTGGTCAATTTCAGTTTTTTAAAAATAACAAAACATTTTTTTTATAAAGTGACTCAAACCAATGTTAAGATCAATGTTTCTCTTAAGTCACATTGTTTCTCTTAAGTCATGTTATGTTTCTCTGATGTCATGTTGTGTCTCTCTTAAGTCATGTTGTGTTTCTCTTAAGTCATGTTGCGTTTATCAAACTCAAAGTTGTGCTCCTGACTTAAGGACATGTAAATAATATATAGAAATTTAAGTAAGATATGCTGTGAAGACAGAAGTGAGACAGACTGTCAAGAAAGAAGTGAGACAGACTGTCAAGACAGAAGTGAGACAGACTGTCAAGACAGAAGTGAGACAGACTGTCAAGAAAGAAGTGAGACAGAATTTCAAGACAGAAGTGAGACAGAATGTCCAGACAGAAGTGATACAGACTGCATTAACATTTTAACAACAAATTAAGTGATAAAATCTTAAGGGAATACACAGCAGGGTTGTTCTAAAACAATAAAAAACAATTTAAGGTCTGGCTTACACATATCTTAGCTTATAACAATTAATAATAATTCCTAACTAAGTAAAGGGCATCTTCAACCAAGGCCAGGACAAAAACAAAGAGTCTTAAATATATCACAAAGATAGCAGTCTAACCAGGGCTCGTGTGTTGAGAACATCAATGAATACACCACAAAGATAGCTGTGTACCCAGGGCTCATGTGTTGAGAACATCAATGAATACACCACAAAGATAAGCATTATATCCACAGTAATGAGTACGAAGAAGACCGACCACTTAAGGAACTATATCCACAGTAATGAGTACGAAGAAGACCAACCACTTAAGGACCTATATTTTCCAGGGAAAAGCATAGGATGAAGGATGGGATGCAGGACACATTATTTTGTCAGACTGCAGGACACAACTATTGCAGAAAGGGGGTAACTCTACATCAAGGTGCCAAATAACATTTGTACAAAATTTAAAACGTAAGGCAAGTCATCCAAAACTTCTAGAGAACATAATAATCTAATAGTAATTCAACAAGTGAATTGACCTGTTGTGAGATCGGTTTCCATCTCTATGTCCCTCTGGATGTGGAGCTATATCTTTACCCGCCTTCCACAATTCATAGCGGTCAGGTTGATACTTCTTGACAAAAATGTCCATGGAAATTTTAACACCATCCCTTCTGCAGATGCACTACGATAAAATGTGGGGAAAAAAAAATCTTCATATTGGTCGACAATATCATTGGACAGTTTAAAAGTAAATGCAGTTTGAATTTTTATGACACGTAACAAATAAAATTAAAAAAAACATGTAACAAATAAAATAAAAAAAAACAACAAAGTAAATGAATAAAATATTTTAAAATTCTGTATTAAATAAACATAAAGGGAAAAAATATCAGTTATATTGGATAAAATTGTTTTCATAAAACAAATATGGCTTAGTTTGGAAACATGAATAGTACGTGAGGAACTTATCAGTAAATGCGATACTTCTGAGTACACAGTATTTTTCATCAGACTCTTCACTCAGTAACTCAAACCTGATAAGCATTAAGATGGGAGATTGTAATTAATATGAAACAGACATATAAATTGTTAAAACTCATTATATTCTACCTGTAAACACCGCTTGCCGTATTCAATCCACCTTTGGGTGGCAAAGTTTGTTGACTCGGCACAGTTGAATCCATGGTTGTAACCAGCATGATATCCATATGGGAAAGTTATCATGATCTCTCCAGCTTCTTGTGTTATCTGAAAGGTACGTGTGACAAAATGATGATTTCAATCCTAACAGGCGCTCACCATTAGTATCAAGATCTTATAAGCCTACCATTTGCACTGTGGGACATTAAAATATTTAGAAAGCAGATTCAATGAAATGTTCAAAGTAGTGGCGATGAAACAAGTGTATTCCTTCCGTCCTTGTGCACCAGCTGGTGTTTGAAGCAACTGGCCTACTATCAACTGCTTCCGTGAGATCTGTCTGCAAGGTCAGGACTCAGGCTCTCAGTCGCCTAGCTTGCTTCACTCTTGATGACCATTGTGCTAACATTTACCTTAATTCAATTCTCTGCGGCCGGTGTGTTTTCAAGGTCACTAGCCCTAAGCCATAAATTCCTCTTTTATCCAGATTTTGGGACCGATTGTGGTGACTTACATTATAATTGGACTAATTATAAATTTTCATTGAAATTGCTTGCAAACTACCAACCTTGTTGACTGGTATAGAATATTTCTTTAGGATAAACGGAGATATCAAGGACATCTTATGGCGCAGAAATGCTGGACATTCACCAAAACTTGTTGGAAAAAAACCTGCAGGAAAAAAATCAAACCCATGAGGAAACAACAATTTTAAAACCATGGAAACGCATAAATTTGATTTGATATAAACACATGCTAGTAAATCCCACGAGGGTGTAAATTGATACCGACCTTGAGCCAAGCGCTCCAACCTTTGCCCGTGTTCTGGTGGGATGGCGTACCAAGACTTGGGAGCACCAAAGTGTAAGTAGTTAATGCTGTACAAATCCATGTCTTCGGTGTGCCAAGCAAATGTTGTCTTCCACATGCCAAAGTACAAGTAGGCTGTGCAGACACCCTCTATTTGGATACCATAATCATTTTTGACATGGTCCAGGATGGTTCCCAGACGATTGATGTTCCAGTAATCCTGGTCATCATCTGTTATAGAGCCATTTATATCTGCCCCGTAAATTGCGGCACCAAACGTGATATTCTTCCAGTACTTTCTCTCCAGATCTTCATAGTCGAAGTGGTTCGGTGTTTGATATCTGCAGGAATATTCAATAGGTTTTAATCATAACTATTTTCTAACATTTCTTGTTTTTTTTTGTTAAAATAAAAATTGAAAGGATTAAAAACGATTGTGAAACAAACGTCATTTAAATTAAGAATACCAGTGAGTTTTCAAAAACGTCTAGAGCTGAAGTCATTCATTACCTTGGTGAATTGGCCATTTCTTCAAACTCCTTTACATGCATTGCCTTCTTCTGCACATTAAATTGTGTATAAAGGCCTTGTTGTCCAGTGACCACCTGCTCAATGGGAGCTGGGATCATCAAATCAAGATCATCATAGCCTTTTTTACGAGGGACCCATTCTTTTGGAGGAATAATCTTAAAACAAAAATGTTTTTTTTTTAAAAACTATAATCAAGTATAATTTCCTGTAAGGATCAGTAAGAAAGAAAATGATATTATATTGATTATCGCTGCATTTTCATAAAGTCACTGACAGTCACCATGATCACCCAAACTGGCTAGTATTATTATCTACAGATGTGTTAAAGGTATTGATATTTATATTCTGTTTCAGGCGTATCTTCAGCCGTTACATGGTCACTATTGCTTTCTACATTAATTTAAATAAATTCTACTTCGATCTGTTTGATTTTTCATCCTCTAGGCTTGCTAGTAAACTTGACAGCTAGTCATGAACGAGCTTTAAAAGTCATGCTGAACTTTGAGCTCTTGTCACTTTTAAATTAAAGAAAATAAAAACATACTGATTTTTCATTTAAAAAAGAACTTCACTGGTGAGTGCAGTAGTAAATTTTATCAGACGAATGTAAAACATCTCAGTTGCTAGACCGAGGGCATTTCAGTTGCTAGAGCATCCTATGTGACTATCTGCCCGACTACTTACCACCTTCCTGGGGGTGGTGGGAATCGGGTGGTGACATTGGGCGTTAAAGGCAGTAGACAGTTAATTTAAGCATTTCTATTAAAAAGATGACGAAATAAAATTGTAATGAAAATTATTATAATATGTCAACATAGTGTAGCTCATACAAGCTGAAGTTGATTTATCTGGAATACAATAATTTAAGGCAATGTTGCCAGGTATTGTTCAAATGTAATAAAAGAAAATGACACCTACCTTTGCCAGCCCCATTTTATGTGCTCCACATGATTCTATGTACTGTATGTACTTGTTAAAATCTTTGAATTCATCAAAAGTTGGTCTGAACACCATAATTCTATCTGGTGCATTAGCTGGAGGGTCAGCCATGTTCTATAAACTTCTGTTATTGTAATAAGAAGCTGGTGAATTATTAAAAAGGATGGGGTAAACATTTTACTATTGCACAGTATCAAATATTAACAAGATTCGGTGTTGTGTCAAAGTCCTCAATTGGAACAGTCACCAATAAATGTTTATAAATTAACAAGAAATTATTAAACTAAAATTTGAAATCACTGTCAAGTTAGTATTAAATAACCAATATAAAAATTGTGGCGTTGGTGACATAGCTTAGGCTTAGGAAGTATTTTATAACTTTTCTTTCAGAATGAATTTTGAAGGCATTTAAAGTGAGATATTTTCATTTGAGATTTTAAAACCCACCAGAGTCCATATTATAAATTATCATAATTTTTCATATGCAAAACATCTGAGCTTTATTCAAGAGTTTTACATGTGCAACACTATTAAACTATTGGTCCGGGAAAGATTTAAATTATTCATGTGCAAAAGTTGAAAGTTCAAAAGATATTTTTTAAACGTCAGCTCCCAATGAAGACACTTGAGTGCTTATCTTAAGGCTGCAAAGGACATTGAACACGCACGTTATAAGAATCAACTTACGTACCTAATTGACCTAATATTATGTATCATTTCATGGTACATTTCAACATAAATTTCCTCCCAATTTTAATACCAAAAGAAGAAACAAATTTTCTTCTGGGGACTGGGGAGGTGAGACCCCTCCCCCCCTTTAAATACCAAAATAAGAAAGAAAGCTTTTGGGGATGGGAGACACCTCCCCCCCTTTTTATTTTCCTTCAAATTATAAAATAAGAAACCAAAATGTTCATTAAGTGAACACAAACATAAATATAGAAATCTTTTGAATAGGGCGCTGTAGACGGAAGTTCACCTGGGGGAACCTCGGCGACCTATATACTGCGGAACACATCACCGGCCTTACCAGACTGCTAACTAACCTAAAATCAGCCTAAAAAATATCAAGTCAAAGAAAACAATACAATTACTTGAATCAAGTAATTGTATTGTTTTCTTTCCCATATTAATTTTAAATGGAGAATTTGAAAAGACAACTGAAATCTGAAGGCTTTCTAATCTTAAACTAAAAACCTATCGATGCCTATGCTTATACTTATTTTGTTAGTTTCTAGCCAGTGAAAAGAGTTAAGTGTAATTATTTAGTCTAATTAGTCAGACTTCCAGATTTGTCACACTCACACATAAAAGATAAAGCTAAAACTTTGATAATTTTCATTGGTCATAATTAATGGTCTCCAGTTAACACATCAGTTATAAATATCAACTAAAAACAAAAAGTTTTAAACAACTAAATTGACTAATTATATCAGAAATGTACATCAAAATGACATGAAGACCTATTATTAGTTGGTTTTTTTTTTAAACCTGCTGATACATGTTAGTAGCTTCCCTTTATAACCTCATTATCTCCAGACGAGGCTGTGTAACCTCAATATCAAAACTGATAAACATGGCGCATAAGAAGTTAAAACAATTTTAATACATTGGAAGAGTAAATGCTTTAAAAAACCAACAAACAATTTAAAATTACTATAAGTGTAAAACTTAATGAAAACACACAGAGCCAACCAAGAGACATAACTAGGTGTCAACGATAACTAGAAATCTAATTAGGACAAGTTCATATCAGCAACGTTCAGCCATTGCAAACAGAACAAACCTCACGAACACAACACACGCAAGCGATTACGTTAGGAATCGCCTAAATATACAGCAACATACATTATGCAATTGAATTAGTAAAAAGTAATAACTATCAATTTAATTTTGTAAACTATTTAAATAATAAATATAGCACACTTACGACGAATTATTTACACCAAGTTGAAGGCATCACTTACACACTCGTCATTGTAATAGTAAACCTATTTACCGTCGCAACACATCTCAGCTTGCGTCAGGACTTCATTTTGTTGATAATTAGTCTTATCCTAAACTAAAACGTGTCCTTAAATGTATATCATTTTACAACACGCTATTTTAAAAATACATAAATAACTATTAGAAAAACGTTTCATTGTACTTTTTGTATGATTTTTAGTAGTTATTAGCAGTCAGTGTATTAATACACGGCTGTTCTGCAAGATGATTGGTCAATTCTCTTTGTGTTGTATTATTCTAATCAGCTGTCTTATTCTTTTTAATATTTTTAAATTTATTATTTAATAATATTTTTTTTAAATTTCAAATTAAAATTTGTCTTAAAATACAATTTAAGTATTAGAAAAACTAGTCATCTTCAAATAGCACTAGAACACATTACCAGGATATGCGTACTTTATTGATAATAATAATTAATTAATTAATTATTAATACTGGCACCGGCATGGCATAGGCTTACCGGCAACATTATTAACAATTTCAAGACAAGACACACGTTGAATGATCCATTGATTGATTTGATGTCATGATGATGTGAATGTACTGTTCAGTTAATTTCTATTATTGTAGAAATATTAATTAAGTTAGAACAATAAAATATAAAATTAATATAATCCTTTTTTGGGGGGTTGGGGGGAGGAGGAGGGGGGGGGGAGGGGAATGCAGTGCCAAGATTAACACTTACAAAGTTCATTTAATTTAAGTTTAAGGGTTGGGTAAACAAATTAATAAAAACATGTCTGTAGGTCATAGTCATCTAGCAGAGCCGACTCGTGACGCTATGTTAAAGATGGTCGTGGTGAGGCCCCCTGCACCACTTTTTCGGTTTGTATGTTTTCATTCATCAAGTCGATCGTTTATTTGACGACCTTAGTTACCGTAATGGTTGTGTGGTTTTTTTAATGACAACAAATAAATATGTAATATAAACAATTCAATTTATGTAGTGATTCCCTCGAAAAGTACACTGCTGTCGGTGAAAGATTGGAATAATTTAGTGTAGGCTAAGCCTAAACAAGAAATAAACACTATACTTGTTGATTTTAAACGGCGCGGTAATGACTTGGACTTAATGAGTCCTGTTCTTCGACTTTGTTCCGTGATCTCTAATGCTTCTCTAGGCAGGGTCTTTTAAGTACATGTATAACCAAATGATGAAGCCTGTAGAAGTTCGTCTCATTATTCTTCTACTAAACTGCTTGCACAAGTTACAACATTCGGCTGTTCGAAAAACACACGCCACGTTCGGGCAAACATTTTTTTTTTTTTTGCAACATCTTAGAATAGATGTCCGGATATAATTACCCTTTTTTTTATTTTTTTAAATAATTAATTTTTTACTTATGCAATCTTTTACGTGGACAGCTTAAAGTTTGACCATGTCAGTAAGTTAGGCATAGGATATACTTTCAAGCCAAGATACAGGTTCACTAAGTCTTAGTGACTTAGTGGTTAAGGCTTGGCGACTTTTGGGAACACTGTCAGAAACGTATCGATTGTCCAGACAGCAATCATCATCTGATGAGCCCTGCACTTTCCAATGCGTTGTGAAAAAATGTAGTGATTTGTATTCAGTCTTCTCTGTTGCTTGTGGCGCATTGGGTAAGTCTCTTTATTTTGAAAGGCAATCATCCGAGTCCGACATGATTGTGATAACAACAAAGATACAACAATTCCTGCTCGATATAACGCAGCTGGTCATTGTGCCGCCCGGGGCGGTATTTGAGTTTGCCGCGCCCCAACACTAAACAGTAGGCCTACATATTTTTATTTTGTCTAAATCGAGCACGAGCTTAACAAAAATAGACCAGGAGACTGTCACCACTCTGACTCATGTCAACCTTGGGATTCGCATGATGATCAGCCGTCATGACAGTGACAGCTGGTGGGGGCCGTAAAGACAGCGATAGCTCGCGGTGGCCGTAATGACAGTGACAGCTCGTGGGGGGCCGTAATGACAGTGACAACTCGTGGGGGGCATAATGACAGTGACAGCTCGTGGTGGCCGTAATGACAGTGACAGCTCGCGGTGGCCGTAATGACAGTGACAGCTCGCGGTGGCCGTAATGACAGTGACAGCTCGTGGGCGGCCGTATTGACAGTGAAAGCTCGCGGTGGCCGCAATGACAGTGACAGCTCGTGGGCGGCCGTAATGACAGTGACAGCTCGCGGCGGCCGTAATGACAGTGACAGCTCGCGGGTTCCACATGTTTTTATTTAATTTATCTGCAGACAGTAATGACTGACGAAGTTGTGAACGTGGTCTTGAACAATGTGATGGCCGAGACGTTTGAGTTCAATTCAAAGATTGATTCAATTAATAATGAATAGACCCTTCGTTTGTAAAGGCCAAATAGGAATGATAATGTGATACTCTGCTAGGTTTGAAATAGGAAATAAGAAGATATGTAATTGGATTGAAATATTTGAATGTGGAAATAAAATTATGAACAGAGCGACGTGGAACACACTTTTTTTGTTGGCGGTGGTTTGGGGGGGGGGGGTGTCCAAAATAGATCTATTTGAAATATCTATTAAAAATAATTTGTCTTTTGGTGGTCCTTTATCACAGGGATTTGTATTATAGGAAATAAGAAGATATGTAATTGGATTGAAATATTTGAATGTGGAAATAAAATTATGAACAGAGCGACGTGGAACACACTTTTTTTGTTGGCGGTGGTTTGGGGGGGGGGTGTCCAAAATAGATCTATTTGAAATATCTATTAAAAATAATTTGTCTTTTGGTGGTCCTTTATCACAGGGATTTGTATTCAACTCTTTATACATTAAAGGTAATGATGATTTTGTGCCCCCTGGTTGTGGCGCCCCCTGGTTGTGGTGCCCGAGGCCAATGCACACTTTCAGCGCCTCTATAATATTGACTTGCTTCAAATAGCGCTGGCTAACTTTTATTACCCCATCTTTCCAGGATAACACAGGTAGATACCAACAAGGAGACACACATGACTCGTCTGACTGTTACAATTTCTATAATTTGTGTAGTTAGTAGCAGCATACATTGAGTGTATAGAAATCAACTGTGACGGTGGCAGGAGAGACACCATTAGAATAGTTACAATCACCACACACAAATATCAATAACACATGGAGCACCAAAGGCCACAGACACACATAAATAATTTCTGTATTAAATAAATAGTACTAAAGCATGGCGTCTACATCATAACATGAGAACCATACAGTGACGCCTATGTGAAGCACACTGTGACATGTATGTGCAAATCTTTTGCTACGTTGACTAAAGCAAGACATTTTGAATGCACATTGTAAATTGGTGGCTGATAACAGAATCAGAACTTTTGGAGATAGAAATTTGGGAGGTAGAGATTTGGGAGATAGAGATTTGGGAGGTAGAGATTTGGGAGGTAGAGATTTGGGAAATAGAGATTTGGGAGGTAGAGATTTGGGAAATAGAGATTTGGGAGATATAGATTTGGGAGGTAGAGATTTGGGAAATAGAGATTTGGGAGGTAGAGATTTTGGAAATAGAGATTTGGGAGGTAGAGATTTGGGAAATAGAGATTTGGGAGATAGAGATTTGGGAGGTAGAGATTTGGGAAATAGAGATTTGGGAGGTAGAGATTTTGGAGATAGAGATTTGGGAAGTAGAGATTTGGGAGGTAGAGATTTGGGAGGTAGAGATTTGGGAGGTAGAGATTTGGGAGGTAGAGATTTGGGAGGTAGAGATTTGGGAGGTAGAGATTTGGGAGGTAGAGATTTGGGAGATAGCGATTTGGGAGGTAGAGATTTGGGAAATAGAGATTTGGGAGGTAGAGATTTGGGAATAGAGATTTGGGAGGTAGAGATTTGGGAAATAGAGATTTGGGATATAGAGATTTGGGAGGTAGTGATTTGGGAGGTAGAGATTTGGGAGGTAGAGATTTGGGAGGTAGAGATTTGGGAGTTAAAGATTTGGGAAATAGAGATTTGGTAGATAGATATTTGGGAGATAGAGATTTGGGAGATAGACATTTGGGAGATAGAGATTAGGGAGATAGAGATTTGGGAGGTAGAGATTTTTGGAGTTAAAGATTTGGGGAATAGAGATTTGGTAGATAGAGATTTTTGGAGGCTTACATTGTGGACATCTTTATCCAAATCATTCGATGATGTTAAATTATTCTTAAATCTGTGGATGGACACCATTAATTCACACCACATGACAGTGGTTTACATGTCACATGACATGACAGTGGCTTACATGTCACATGACATGACAGTGGTTTACATGTCACATTACATGACAGTGGTTTACATCTCAGATGAAATGACAGTGGTTTACATGTAACATGACATGACAGTGGCTTACATGTCACATGACATGACAGTGGTCGACATGTCACATGACATGACAGTGGCTTACATGGAGCTCTTTGGTTGTTTCACTCCATATTGGAGGGAATCAATTAAAAAAAAAAAAGAAAATATCTTCCATGATAAACAATTGCAATGAAAAAATGCATTAAGACATCATTGAATAAATACTTATCAAATAGGGATCAAATTTAGTTCACAAGTTCTGTCAAGTGCAAGTGTCAACATATTCTAAAAATTTAAACCAAAAACATTTAATTAATTTTAAATAAAACGAGAGGTAGAATTAAATATCGGGTAAAGACATGGTTAACGCCCTTGCAAAGATACATTGTTTTCTTTCCTTTCTCTGAACAAACGCACATGCCATTACAGACGCACCATTCTAAACTTAATAAACACATGCCATTACAGACGCACCATTCTAAACTTAATAAACACATGCCATTACAGACGCACCATTCTAAACTTAATAAACACATGCCATTACAGACGCACCATTCTAAACTTAATAAACACATGCCATTACAGACACACCATTCTAAACTTAATAAACACATGCCATTACAGACGCACCATTCTAAACTTAATAAACACATGCCAATACAGACGCACCATTCTAAACTTAATAAACACATGCCATTACATACGCACCATTCTAAACTTAATAAACACATGCCATTACAGACGCACCATTCTAAACTTAATAAACACATGCCATTACAGACGCACCATTCTAAACTTAATAAACACATGCCATTACAGACGCACCATTCTAAACTTAATAAACACATGCCATTACAGACACACCATTCTAAACTTAATAAACACATGCCATTACAGACGCACCATTCTAAACTTAATAAACACATGCCAATACAGACGCACCATTCTAAACTTAATAAACACATGCCATTACATACGCACCATTCTAAACTTAATAAACACATGCCATTACAGACGCACCATTCTAAACTTAATAAACACATGCCATTACAGACGCACCATTCTAAACTTAATAAACACATGCCATTACAGACGCACCATTCTAAACTTAATAAACACATGCCAATACAGACGCACCATTCTAAACTTAATAAACACATGCCAATACAGACACACTACTTTGAAATTTATAATCCCATGCGAAATATTAGTAAATTTATTCTCTGAGCCCGTTCATTAAATTATTTTTTTCATAGTCTATTTCAAGTATCAAGCCCCTCCCCCCTCCTTTAAATTAATCAATAAAAACCAGTGCATTAATGTTCTCATTCTCAGACAATTTAGCTGTGCTAGAGTTTTTAAAATCATGCATATCTATCAGGTCTCGAGTACAAAGACATAGTAAACCAAATGCAAACACCATGTTGTCCTCATAAATAAATGTTCACATCAAAATATAAAGGTGTTTTTTACAGAAATGTGTGCAGAGCTAAATCTGAAATGAATTCATCAGAAATTCTGGTTTCATGTACCAAATATTGCAGTGCCAGTATGATGAATATTTCTTTCTTAAAAGGCCACACATGTGTAATACCTTCGTTTACAATTTTGCTGTTCAAGCGAGAACCCCGTTTACCAGAATTAACAAGAACAAAATATCTGATGAGTGGCAGACAAACCAATAAAAGAAAAGAAATATTCAAATTACATCTGTGGGCTCCTAGTCTGATTAGTCTTAAAGTGGTAAACAGTTAGAGCAAAATCTGGAGTTCAACAATTAAATGTACCTGTACATGGTTTTCCTCTGTGGATTTAGAACAGAGTTAACATAATCTTCAATCAAAATATATTATTTTCTAATGGTTTCATAATGTTAACTTAGATCAGAGGTTCTGAACCTGTTTGTCGCGACCCCTTAGGGGGGTCGAACGACCCTTACACAAGGGTCACCTAAGACCCAAGGAAAACACAAATTTATAAAGTAGCAACGAAAATAATTTTATGGTTGAGGGTCACCACAACATGAGGAACTGTATAAAGGGTCACGGCATTAGGAAGGTTAGAACCACTAACATAGATGTTTTCAGATTACTAATACACATACAGTGGTAATACAATGGACCAGCAATTCCACTGAGCTCAGAATATATTCACTAACGTGACAAAATAGTGTATCTTCCTACTGCCCATGTAAGTCTGCCTACTGCACATTTAAGTCGGCCTACTGCCCATGTAAGTCTGCCTACTGCCCATGTAACTGTCATTATGTTTTGACAATGGTGGCAAGGCTCAACACCAGTGCCAATATTATGGCTGTGACAGCATTATGGCTGTACCGTTATGGAATACATCATGCATACTATGAAAGAGATTTGTATGAAACACATCATGCATGTTATGATAACAATTTAACAATACTTAGATTTAAATTAAAGCTTCCAATTTAATCTTCTGAGATTCTAAGGTAAATGACACTTTCAGACTTCTGAGATTCTAAGGCTAAATGACACTTTCAGAAATTTTATGTATGGTGAGTAAAGTAAACTTTTTTCAAATTTAAAAAAAAATGCAGCTGTGATAATATTATGTGATCTAATATTCATCAGAGGTCTGTATTTACATTTTGAATCATGCAATACTACCAGATCAACAGCTACCGCAAACATAGCAATAGGAAAAGTTTTAAAATAAAGCTGTGAGACTGTAAGTGTAAGCGTAAGATATATTCATCAAAAAGACATTGAAACTAAACATCGGGTTTGTCCACAGCAACTGAAACATCGGGAGAGCTAACAACAACAGTTGGCACCAATGTTTTCATCACAATAAAAACTTTTGAAATATAATAATTAATAAGAGGAACAAAAAATTCAGTGAACATTTTTAAAGCAATATCATGAGTTTTGTCAGCAAGGACAGCTCCGTGGAGCTAGTCGTACACTTTAATGACAGCAAACTTCAATCAATGAAACATGAGTAGTGCTTTAAACTAAATTGCCATTGCAATTTGTAGCATAAAAGTAGTAAATGCATACACAACAGAAGCTGGTCAATTAATTTGGCTCACATTATTGACGTATCATAAGCTTGGTTTTTTTGTATAAATATAATTATAAAATACCTAAAAGGTCCATTTAAAATGCAGGTCTGAGAAAGGTTAAAAATATAAATTATAAATAAGTATACGATAGCCACAAGAGCAGGTAGTTCCTTCATTTGTGAAATACCTTCATTACATTCAAATTCAATATTGACATTCATAACACAGCGCACGCCACCAGGTAAACGAAACACAATTCGTGCATTCCCGATTTTGATTTGAAGCAGCTCACAGAATGAACCTTCCCGCTAATCATGTTCTAATGTCAAGGCCATTCAGGACACAAAAACAACAAAATAATGTGCTCACTTCATTTCCTCAGAGATGACATTAGCATACATTGCCATTTTTATAAGTTAATTCTAAAGAATAAGGACTGTCGTAACAGATTAGCTTTCTTAATCCATCATCAAAACGTGCCTTCCACTTCCATCCCATTTTAGAATTTGAAATTTTAAAAAAAATGTATTTACTATAAATGCATTATCTACTTCACAACATGCTGCACAAACAACGAATTGCAATACAAATAAAATAGATTAGTTATGAAATGTTCACTTGAACATCATTAGGTGTGTCACCCAAATATCTGTACAGCAGATCAGCAGAATACCGATATTATAACAAGATCCAGGTCACGGCCAGCCCAGCATTGGTTTAACAATCAGGTGAGGCCAAATCCAAGTCACGGGCTCATGCAATGTTTAAATAGAGAAAGTTGCAGACAGAGGAATCAGTAGAGAAAAAACAGAGGGTTCTTTTGAAGATGTCTGTCAGTAAGAAGAGAATGCCGTAAGACTTACTAGCACCATTGTAATAAGTAACTGTTCATGAAACAATCTCAATCTGTCAGTGGCATTCAATTAAAAAAGCAACTATTTAAAGTGAAGCCTGTCTTTGAGCAGAACAATCAATGATACACTGGATCAGGCAATGATACACTGGATCAAGCAATGATACACTGGATCAAGCAATGATGCACTGGATCAAGCAATGATACACTGGATCAAGCAATGATGCACTGGATCCAGCAATGATACACTGGATCAAGCAATGATGCACTGGATCAAGCAATGATGCACTGGATCAAGCAATGATACACTGGGTCAAGCAATGATACACTGGATAAGAAATGATGCACTGGATCAAGCAATGATGCACTGGATCAAGCAATGATACACTGGATCAAGCAATGATGCACTGGATCAAGCAATGATGCACTGGATCAAGCAATGATACACTGGATCAAGCAATGATGCACTGGATCAAGCAATGATACACTGGATCAAGCAATGATACACTGGATAAGAAATGATGCACTGGATCAAGCAATGATGCACTGGATCAAGCAATGATACACTGGATCAAGCAATGATGCACTGGATCAAGCAATGATGCACTGGATCAAGCAATGATACACTGGATCAAACAATGATACACTGGATAAGAAATGATGCACTGGATCAAGCAATGATACACTGGATCAAGCAATGATACACTGGATCAAGCAATGATACACTGGATCAAGCAATGATACACTTGGTAAAGCAATGATACACTGGATCAAGCAATGATGCACTGGATCAAGCAATGATGCACTGGATCAAGCAATGATGCACTGGATCAAGCAATGATACACTGGGTCAAGCAATGATACACTGGATCAAGCAATGATACACTGGATCAAGCAATGATACACTGGGTAAAGCAATGATGCACTGAATTAGTGCATGATCAAACCAAGGGAGATGACTTTATAAATAGTAAGCTAAGGTGTAAACAAAAAGATATACCTTCATGTAATATATTTCAGCTGAGGTTAGAATTAGAAAACAACTTGAATTTAAAAAAAAAAAAATTACAATAATCTTATTGCATAACTGTATAAATATCATAGACGATAATAATTTCTCAAAACTCCATGATCTTAGAAACCTAAACATCTATACATAGATACTGCTTTTAAATTTTAGAAAAGTCTGAATGACTTGTTCCTAACGATACATTTCAGGGGCCTGGAAAATGTAATTTTTTTTTGATGATTCGATACATCAAAACCCAATTAATTGACATAATTAAAAATTGGATATTTTAGTTGCTGAGACTTGGAAAGAGCAGGTAGAAAGTAGCGAGCGGGTAGAAAGTAGCGCAATTTGCCTCCCAGGTACACTGTGTTATATTTTCTAGTTAATAAATAGAGAGATAAAAACATTTATCTTTAAATTGTAAATTAATCATTGTTGAAGATCTCAGAGCCTTAATCCCAATTAAGCACCAATTGGCCTGTGTACAATTTTAATCTTCATTGATGAAAACACTGGCCTGGTATTAGTCCACATTAACACAGTAAGAGGAACAGGCCATTAGCTGATGTAGAATTTATAAGGAATAATTCAGCATTTTCTGATGCATCAGTGCACGCAACTTTCACTGGTTAAATAGGAACAACTCGGAGAGACATGTCAGGTGTCAAGGCAACTAGAAACAAATCGATTGCTGACACGATCAGATCTCAAGTTAACACAGACTAGACACAGACAACATGGCAATTGTACCAACAGATGTTTAGAGTGTCTGTGACACAGCCAACATGGCAACTGTATCAACAGATGTTTAGAGTGTCTTATGTCAAAAGAAATGGCCATCAATTCAACAATATTCTTTGTGTATCGTGAAAGACAATCTTCTTTTCATGACAAAAACATTTATAAAAAAAAACAAATCTTAAAAATTTCTCAGAGCAAAAGACAGGTGCTTGTAATTATGGAACAAGAATTTTGAAGATCACAATTTTGTTAATTGGTTGAATTAAAATAAATATTTCTTGGGGTGATCAAAAAGTGGGATAAAAGTAGGACACACTTTGGTAGGTGAACAACCTGAATTAATTTTAAAAACAATGGACTGGTCTTCAGTAAGATTTGATGAGGGAAATCTTTTTGAAGGTTTTTTTGTGTGCATTACTTCAATTTTTGGTGAACTCTAAATGCTATACATTCAGTAACAACCATTGCGAGTAAATAAGAAACAATGTAAGACGGAAATGTAAAAATAGCAATGCCAATGTTCCTCTCTGTGTATAAATTTGTTGAGAGAAATATTCAAATATGGTTTATAAGCCGACCATTCAGCAACATAGCAAAGAAATACAATCACAGCATGCAACATTAACAAACAGCATAGAGAGTTAAGAATGTGAGTCTTTCAGCTTGTGACCAGATTAGTATCACAAAATTAACAAACAGCATAGAGAGTTAAGAATGTGAGTCTTTCAGCTTGTGACCAGATTAGTATCACAAAATTAACAAACAGCATAGAGAGTTAAGAATGTGAGTCTTTCAGCTTGTGACCAGATTAGTATCACAAAATTAACAAACAGCATAGAGAGTTAAGAATGTGAGTCTTTCAGCTTGTGACCAGATTAGTATCACAAAATTAACAAACAGCATAGAGAGTTAAGAATGTGAGTCTTTCAGCTTGTGACCAGATTAGTATCACAAAATTAACAAACAGCATAGAGAGTTAAGAATGTGAGTCTTTCAGCTTGTGACCAGATTAGTATCACAACATTAACAAACAGCATAGAGAGTTAAGAATGTGAGTCTTTCAGCTTGTGACCAGATTAGTATCACAACATTAACAAACAGCATAGAGATAAAAATATACGTCTTTCAGCCTCTAGCCACCTTAACATCTGTGGAGCCGGGTCGGTTCGGGTGAACCGGTTGTTAAATCCTGACTATTCTACCAACCAAATTGTTAAAAATGTCAGAATAAAAATAGTTTAAATAAATGTTACAATTTTTAAAAAATCGGACAAGTACTGACTGAACCAATTGTTACTTGGTCAGCAGCACACCATTGCTTAGAATTACATTATAGAAGTATTGTGTTTCTAGCCCCGTGCCATCAAGGCAGCATTCTTTTAGTGCATCGTTCACCTTTGGTAAATGAATAAGACATTTTTTTTACAATTGACAACGTCCAGTTGTGGTATTTGGCTACTCTTAACACATTTCTCTATCCTAACCCTAACCCAGCTACTCTTAACTCATTTCTTATCCTAACCCTAACCCGGCTACTCTTAACACATTTCTCTATCCTAATCCTAACCCGGCTACTCTTAACTCATTTCCCTATCACATCTTCGTGGCCCATAACATTTATGACATGAAACACACCCCCCCACCCCCCATGTTACATGAAGCAGTAAGTTACAGTAAGTTATCCAACAATAAAACCAACAAACTAATCCTACAATCTGCATAACATCATACAACAATGGGTCATTAAATCCAAAATATCAACTTATCAAACAATGGATATATTACCATTAAAAAAAAAAAATTTTTAAAGGAATATTTGCACAAATCAGCAATGTCCATGGTAAATCAAACCATGATCTCATAGGCTCGTAAGCTTGCTTGTCAATATCTTTCCTTGTCTTTTGATTTCCCAAAATATCAAGTTTTGATATGATTTCATTTAACAATGATACAAAAGTTTATCACTTATTCATCGGCCGCAGCACTGGCCTCCGTCAGCTTCTTCCCATCAGGATCCAGGGTGAAACTGTTGATGTATGTGCCGATGTAATCATAACCTGCTTCCGTGGCCAACTCGGCCGCAGTCTGGCCCTCCTGGACAAGAGTGAGGTACAAGTCATTGAGATCTTTTGCAAATAAACATTTTCATTTATTATTTATTTTCCTTCTGTTCGACATCATTGTGTTGAATGATGGCTTAAAAGCTTAGTTTAAAATTTAAATATAGGCTTACATTTAACACTCATTCGTCCAGCACTTTAACAAGCATAGAAACAAAATTGAGATTTTTTTTTTCAAAATTTGAGTAAAGGACCTACAAGCTCAACATAATGACTCTGGGAACATTGTGATTTGTGTGTTGCATAAATGATATCAGTTAGGTTTGTTCAAGTTATTTTATTGAATTTGTTCCAGTTTCCTCTTATTTGTTCTACCCTGGTCTAGTAGTCAAAGAAATCAGAAGTAAGACAATCTAAAAATCAGAAGTAATGCAATCAAAGAAATCAAAAGTAAGACAAAGAAATTTAGAAGTAAGAAAATCAAAGAAATCAGAAGTAAGAAAATCAAAGAAGTTTAGAAGTACATCAACCAAACAAATCAGAAGTAAGACAAAGAAATTTAGAAGTAAGAGAATCAAAGAAATCAGAAGTAAGACAATCAATGAAATCAGTAGTAAGGCAATCAAAGAAGTTTAGAAGTAAGACAACCAAAGAAATCAGAAGTAAGACAAAGAAATTTAGAAGTAAGAGAATCAAAGAAATCAGAAGTAAGACAAAAAATGAAATCAATAGTAAGGCAATCAAAGAAGTTTAGAAGTAAGACAACCAAACAAATCAGAAGTAAGACAAAGAAATTTAGAAGTAAGAGAATCAAAGAAATCAGAAGTAAGACAATCAATGAAATCAGTAGTAAGGCAATCAAAGAAGTTTAGAAGTAAGACAACCAAAGAAATCAGAAGTAAGACAATCAAAGAAATCAGAAGTAAGACAAGTAAAGAAATCAGAAGTAAGACAAAGAAATTTAGAAGTAAGACAATCAAAGAAATCAGAAGTAAGACAAAGAAATTTAGAAGTAAGACAATCAAAGAAATCAGAAATAAGACAATCAAAGAAATCAGAAGTAAGGCTATCAAAGAAATCAGAAGTAAGACAATCAAAGAAATCAGAAGTAAGACAATCAAAGAAATCAGAAGTAAGACAATCAAAGAAATCAGAAGTAAGGCTATCAAAGAAATAAGAAGGAAATCAAAAAAATCAGAAGTAAGAAAATTAAAGACAGAGGTAAGGCTATCAAAGAAATCAGCAGTATACCTTATTTTTGATATTGACTTGAACCCCTGATTGTAACAACAGACGAACAGCTTTAGAGTGACCAAACAAAGCTGCAGCATGTAATACTGTTTCACCATTCTGTCAAGTAATAGGGATAGAATTGGCTTTAACAAAACACATTTTGGGACTACAGCCATGTAAGATTTCCATGTAAGACAACGGTGAGGAAAAATTATTTTGAAAAGTAGAACACAAAACTTTAGATTGTGTATTAGGATAAAAACGGGACTAAGTATTCCCAGATTTGACTAAGATAAAATACTTAGGACTCACTTTAGGTACTCCCAAATTTGGCTTGTGTTTAAGATAAAATACTCAAGACTCACTATAAGTACTCCCAGATTTGGCTTGTGTTTAAGATAAAATACTCAAGACTCACTTTAGGTACTCCCAGATTTGGCTTGTGTTTAAGATAAAATACTCAAGACTCACTTTAGATACTCCCAGATTTGGCTTGTGTTTAAGATAAAATACTCAAGACTCACTTTAGGTACTCCCAGATTTGGCTTGTGTTTAAGATAAAATACTCAAGACTCACTTTAAGTACTCCCAGATTTGGCTTGTGTTTAAGTATCTCAGCTATTGTATCCAAGTGACCTTTATGGCATGCCTTGAACAATGGCGTAGCCCCATCCTGATAGAGGAAACAAAACTGTTGGTCAACATGTGTAGTGTGCAGTACACATCTATCAAAACTGTTGGTCAACATGTGCAGTGCACTGTACACATCTATCAAAACTGTTGGTCAACATGTGTAGTGTGCTGTACACATCTATCAAAACTGAAGGTCAACATGTGCAGTGCACTGTACACATCTATCAAAACTTTTGGTCAACATGTGCAGTGCACTGTACACATCTATTCTGTCAGTTGTTGCATGGTGACACTTATTTCAGCTTGGGTCAGGTAATAACCCACTAGGAATGGATACAGTGGCTGTTATAAAGTTGGGCATTCCATCTACGGAAACGAACATTTTGATTACAATTGAAATGGACTTGCCATCACAGCCAATTTACCAACCTCTCTCATAGCATCAACATCAGCCCCTGCCAGCAGCAACTCCCTTACAACATCTGTGTGACCCATCTGAGCAGCTATCCACAGTGGACTGGCCAAATCCTAGAAATCATTTGAAACAAAATATCTGAGTCATTGGGTTTATAGCCAGAATTTGCTCACCCCCCCCCCCCCACAACACAGATCAGAAGTACATAGATCAGAAGAAACACAGATCAGAAGTACCCAGATCAGAAGTACAAAAATCAGAAGTACACAGATCAGAAGTACACAGATCAGAAGTACACAGATCAGAAGAAACACAGATCAGAAGTACCCAGATCAGAAGTACACAAATCAGAAGTACACAGATCAGAAGTACACAGATCAGAAGTACCCAGATCAGAAGTACACAAATCAGAAGTACACAGATCAGAAGTACCCAGATCAGAAGTACACAGGTCAGAAGTACACAGATCAGAAGTACACAGATCAGAAGTACACAGATCAGAAGTACCCAGATCAGAAGTACACATATCAGAAGTACCCAGATCAGAAGTACACAGATCAGAAGTACATAGATCAGAAGAAACACAGATCAGAAGTACACAGATCAGAAGTACCCAGATCAGAAGTACCCAGATCAGAAGTACACAGATCAGAAGTACACAGATCAGAAGTACAAAGTTTGTTACACACAAAAGCATCCTATATTTCATAATTGAAAAAAAACTTTCTTATTTAAAAACTTAACCTAAGAAATTACACCAGTTCTGAGTCAAGAACAAAACTCTTTTTAAAGTCATTCAATATTTAATCACTTACATTACATTACGACAACAAAACTCTTTTTAAAGTCATTCAATATTTAATCACTTACATTACAACAACAAAACTCTTTTTAAAGTCATTCAATATTTAATCACTTACATTACATTACAGTCTACTTAATCCTTACCTTTCTTGTCATGTTAGGGTCAGCTCCCTTGGATATCAAATATTTTAAGAGATCCGCGTGCCCGTTCTGGGCCGTTATAAAAAGCGGTGTTGCACCGTCAATCATCTGAGCATGAATGTCCCCGCCGCGGGCAAGTAACTCCGCCACAACGTCCTGATGATTGCACTGACAAGCTACAAACAGGGGCGTGCCACCATCCTGAAACAATCGTTACCTTCACAATCAAATCTTTTAACAACATTATAAGAATGTAAACATACACCTAGGTCCCTTGGCCTGATCAGTTGAGCCCTACAGAGTACTTGGTCTGATCAGTTGAGCCCTACAGAGTACATTGCAGGGGATACCACTTGCTTCACATACTTATTACAAACAGGGCTCATAACAGGGCTCATAACAGGGATTATAACAGGGATTATAACAGGGCTCATAACAGGGATTATAACAGGGATTATAACAGGGCTCATAACAGGGCTCATAACAGGGATTATAACAGGGATTATAACAGGGCTCATAACAGGGATTATAACAGGGATTATAACAGGGATTATAACAGGGCTCATAACAGGGCTCATAACAGGGATTATAACAGGGATTATAACAGGGCTCATGATCAATAAAACTTTTGTAGTTTGTTTGGTGTTTTTGCTTCCGTCAGTCTCCAGGAGACAACAGTGCATTGTCGTTGGAAGTTGCAGGTGGCGAAACTACAAATTCTCATCTGGAGCATCAACTGATTCATCAACTAATTCATCAACTGATTCATCTACTGATTCATCAACTAATTCATCAACTAATTCATCAACTGATTCATCAACTGATTGATCAACTGATTCATCAACTGATTCATCTACTGATTCATCAACTAATTCATCAACTAATTCATCAACTGATTCATCTACTGATTCATCTACTAATTCATCAACTAATTCATCAACGGATTCATCAACTGATTCATCAACTGTTTAAAGGAGCAGTACAAATAAACATGTACAAAATGATCATGTCACACACACACACTCGTTTGGTTGGTGTGGCCCTATTCCATGGGTATTATTTTAGTACCGTATGGAGTGTTAAAATTGAACAATTTTGCTGCCCCATGATGGTAACAATGTCTGTCTCATCACCATCAGTTAACAGTTTAAAATTGGATCTCATAGTGTTCTCAGCCATACACCATTGGTACAGTTGTGCAGCAAGGCGGCTATGCCTGGGGAGGTAAAACATTGGGAAAAAGTCTCAACCACCGAAGTAGGGAGACAGGGTCCAACTTGATGTGCTATTTAACACCATCTGTCCACGCTAGTCCATCACAAACAAACAAGTTAGGTCACATTGACAACTATGATAATATTCTATCTGTTAAGAGGTCCCAACCATCCATGAATACTTACAAAACTTGCCAAATCCACATTGGCGTTGTGTTCCAGTAATTCTTTGACCACATCAAGAAAGCCACCTTGGCAAGCAAAGAACAAGGCACAGGTGCCAGTCTGCGGACAGATATTACAATTGTGGGTCCAATTATTCAGACTATTCCATCGACTGGGCACTTAAAATGTATGGAAAGCAACCAGTTACGGCCTGTGTGTGTTATGGCCTGTATGTTACAGCCTGTGCATGTTACAGCCTGTGTGTGTTATGGCCTGTGTGTGTTATGGCATGTGTGTGTTATGGCCTGTGTGTGTGTTATGGCCTGAGTGTGTGTTATGGCCTGTGTGTGTTATGGCCTGTGTGTGTTATGGCATGTGTGTTTTATGGCCTGTGTGTGTTATGGCCTGTGTGTGTCTTATAGCCTGTGTGTGTTATGGCCTGTGTGTTTTATAGCGTGCGTGTGTTATGGCCTGTGTGTTATGGGGTGTGTGTTATGACCTGTGTATTTTATAGCCTGTGNTGTGTGTGTGTTATTGTGTGTGTATGTTATTGCGTGTGTGTGTTATGGTTTTTGTGTTGTATGGTCTGTGTGTGTTATAGCGTGTGTGTGTTATGGTGTGTATGTTATGGTCTGTGTGTTATGGCCTGTGTGTGTTATGGCCTGTGTGTGTTATGGCTTGTGTGTAATGGCCTGTGTGTGTTATGGCCTGTGTGTGTTATGGCCTGTGTGTTATGGCCTGTGTGTGTTATGGCCTGTGTGTGTTATGGCCTGTGTGTGTTTGGCCTGTGTATGTTATGGCCTGTGTATGTTATGGCCTGTGTGTGTTATGACCTGCATGTTATGACCTGTGTTTTATGGCATGTGTGTTATGGTCAGTGTGTGTGCTATGGCCTGTGTAAGTTATGGCCTGTGTGAGTTACAGCCTTGTGTTATAACTTGTGTGTTACAGCCTGTGTGTTTACATAGTATTTGGTCACCACAAGCTGTGGCATTCAACTTTACCCTAACCCTAACCTTTTTTAAAATTGACTTATTGATGTCACAGATGAAATGTTTAGCGCTAATCCTTTTTACCTATCCTTCCCTTGATTGGGAAAAGGTTGTGTACGCTCTATTTCTTCTAAAGAATGCTATCAGGTGACACCATTTCTAGAATTTCTTTTCTGGGTGGTTTCTACTTCTAACCTACTCCCTGTTTAAATAATTCTGCAGCTTTCCTAGCCAGAGTGAGAGAGAAAGAGAGAGAGAGAGAGATCTTTGCAATTTTGACATAATATCCTAACAAGATTGTACTTCTTATGTGTGTGTGTTTAAGTCATTATATGTATCTTTCAAGGATTGTACTTGTCCTCTTGCCGTGCTGTCAGTTGATATAGTTTTTTGTTTTGTTTCTGTATATTTGATTTTGTATTTGTATATAAATTTAATAGTATAATTACATTAAATATTAGTTAGTAGCACTAGCTTTGGTATCGATTTTCTTTGTATACTTATTTTCAGTCCTTTGTTAAGTAATGGTACGGTAGGTAACAAAAACACATGTGTTTAGTATGAGGCTAAAGGGAAACTGATGTTACAGTGGTTTAGTTACTTTTTGGTAGTTTAGGGACTATCAAACGAGAGAAAAACTTCATTTATAACATTTTATAGTCCTTTGAAGTTATGAAGTATGGCATTTTAAAAATAGATATATATTTATTTAAAAAGGTGAATTTTTGTCGAAAAGCGTTGACTTCTGTTGCCACCAACACAGGAGAGCGCGAGTGGCCAGCTGTGTGACAAGGGGTGTGACCTACCAGTCTCCTGGCGTTGGGGTCCGCCCCTTGCTCCAGCAGTTCCTTGACACACTGTAGGTGGTTGTTGGCAGCGGCCAGAATAAGTGGTGTAGTCCCCTCCTGTGGAACAAACATACACACAATGAGAAGGGTAAAATAACCAGTTCTAGTCGTAAAACCTGGACTGGACGCCTCCACGGAATCATGTCATCCTGTCAAACACACTTCAACGTGTAACTGACAATCAATAATGGTAGAGATAAATCTCCAATAAACTTGGCTCTAGACAATCAATAATGGTAGAGATACATCTCCAATAAACTTTGACCCGTATTAAATAGATGGCCATGTGCAAGTAAACACAACTTTAAACAACAAAAAAAATCTCCAATGGATCAGTTGTGTGCATAAAGGGGTCAGCTTAGGACGGTAGCATGCACTGGGGGTTATTTCCTTAAATGTATGCATACCAGTAGGATCCCGCCAAACCATGGTGGCGGCAATGCGTGAACTTCCCATCTATTAAAGTCGTTTGACAAAAAAAAGCATTCAAGTAATGCACAAAATAAGAATCCCGAATGGCACCCCCCACCCACCCCCAGGTACGCCACAGCAAATTTTTCACGCCCCAGAACTTTATTTATATTATAATGTAGCACCCCAAGTAACTCCGCCCATGTAGTATACTATACACCGTGTTTAATAGGAACTATTTCTGCAAAACAAAAGACAATAATAGTACGCAAAAAACAACAACAAACAAACAAACAAAAAACGCACTTTTTAGCACAGTTAACGCGCATTTTATTTTGCACGCAACTGAACTCAGCATCACACCGTGCATTCCCAGAGAATTTTACTGATGGATTTTTTAGCAATTGTTTCTGGTTCTGATAGGTTACGTTGCTGCATCTATGAACTGGCGTATGTGCAACGGTTGGGGAAGTGATGCCGCTATCCTAGCGGGTGCCAGGGCGGCCTTGAAACTCTCGATTGATGTTGAATCATTGGGGTGGAGGGTACGTAGTCCCTGGGGGTGGAGGGTACGTTGTCACTGGGGGTGGAGGGTACGTTGTCCCTGGGGGTGGAGGGTACGATGTCCCTGGGGGTGGAGGGTACGTTGTCCCTGGGGATGGAGGGTACGTTGTCCCTGGGGGTGGAGGGTACGTAGTCCCTGGGGGTGAATGGTACGTTGCCCCTTTGGGTGGATGATACGTAGTCCCTGGGGGTGGAGGGTACGTTGTCCCTGGGGGTGAATGGTACGTTGTCCCTGGGGGTGGAGGGTACGTAGTCCCCAGGTATAACATAAGCGCAACAATATGCAGCATCGAAACTCCTGCATCTTGAACGTGTGTTGGTCAAGTCAACAGTGGATATGTTGGACATGTGTTGTTGGAAATGACGTGAGTTTGTCAACAGTTGATATGCTGGGCATGTGTTGTTGGAAATGACGTGAGTTTGTCAACAGTGGATATGTTGGGCATGTGTTGTTGGAAATGACGTGAGTTTGTCAACAGTGGATATGTTGGGCATGTGTTGTTGGAAATGACGTGAGTTTGTCAACAGTGGATATGTTGGGCATGTGTTGTTGGAAATGACGTGAGTTTGTCAACAAAGGATATGTTGGGCATGTGTTGCTGGAAATGACGTGAGTTTGTCAACAGTGGATATGTTGGGCATGTGTTGCTGGAAATTGGTGTCTCCACGACGGAAAAAGTATTCCTTCTCGACCATTACTTTTACTAATTAAAGTAGCATGACGCTGGCACAGTTCTGAACGTAACATGATATCAATACAGACTTGACTTGATGAAATAGGTCACACAAATTGACAATTTACGCTGAAAATAAATCTTTTGGATTTACCGAAGACCAAACTTTTTGACAACAATCAACCAGTTAACTGACGTTCAGCTCTGTCACGTGTGTGCTCTCCTCAACCCTCTCCCTCCCCCCCCCCGCCCACTTTTGACATTCAACAAGTCCCAGAAAGAGCACGAACTGAGCTTCCAGCAGGCACTCACTAATTCGTTGTAGAACTCACACAGCACGAGTAAACAAGCTGCCCCGACACACGTGCTTGTATTTGTTCCCACGCGCTTATAGGTCACGTGCATGAACACTATCCTCCATCACGGCCCATGTCACAATAACTCTTGTAGATCTACAGGGTAGGTCATATTAGCTTCCCTGATACTATTGAGCGTACAAGTCATAACAGAAGCCCGCCCCACACAAGCGCTTATTCCTGTGTCTGCACCTGCCCCCATCAACGCCAGGAAATGTGCCAGGGCAGCATAGATTTGGTACCCAAACAGTCGAGGCGTGAAAGGTCAAACCAACTGTTACCCTCCGACCCACATCCTAGAAACAGGTCAAGCCTTGGTGACGTAGGCAGACAGAGCGTCATATGTTCAGTAATCAGAAATGCCATACAACATGTTTTCAAGGTGAAAGGGCCTCATTGGTAGGTGGTCTCTTTATGCCATACAACATGTCAAGGTCATCTATTCAACCCCTAGAGGCTACATGCCAAAACGAAGGTCCTGACAGACACCATCCGGGACCTCCTGTATGCAGACGACTGTGCCCTAAACGCTGTATCAGAAGTGGATATGCAACGCTGCGTCACAAACTGTTCCAATGCCTGTACAAACTTCGGGCTCACCATGAATACCAATAAATCCATCCCTGTGGCGCTACAGCCCATGCAGGGCTTTGGCCTGCCTCACTACTTCCTTCCGCTCAGACCATCCATCCCTGTGGCGCTACAGCCCATGTAGGGCTTTGGCCTGCCTCATCACTTCCTTCCACTCAGACCTAACTAATGCCTTTCTTTTCCATGCTTGGACTTTCAGCTGTTGTAGATCTTTTTCAACATCATCTATCCACCTAAGCCTAGGTCTGCCTTTGAGCATTTTTCCTCTGGGGTATTGGTGATGCACTCTCTTCGTTCCTCTGTCATTCGGCATTCTCTCTAGGTGTCCTGCCCAGCGTAGCCTGCCCCTTTTTATTTCTGCCACTATCGTGGGATCCTGATATAGACTGTACAATTCCTGGTTGGTTCGTATTCTCCATCCAAATTCATCCTTTGTTGGCCCATATATTTTCCTGAGAGCTTTTCTCTCCCATGTGTTTAATAGGTTTTCTGCTGTTTTTGTTAGGGTCCAAGTTTCATTTGCATATGTTACAACTGGTCTGATTACAGTTTTATAAATAGTTTTCTTTGTTTCTCTTGTCATGTTTTTACTTTTGAGTATTTGCTGACTACTGACGTCTGCCCTGTTTCAGGCTGATATTCTTTCTTTTATTTCTGTTAGTAATTCGTTTCTTTCATTTAACAAGGATCCTAGGTATTTAAATTGATTTACTTTTTCAAAAGTTTGGTTTCTAATTTTAATGGCTTCATCTGTTTGTTCTTCTCTTATCATGGTCATGTATTTTGTTTTTTTGGTTGTTAACTTCCAGCCCTGCTTGTAGAGATGCGTCTTCTAATTCAATAAAGGATTTTGATATGTCTTTAATACTTTTCCCTAGAAGTGCTATGTCGTCAGCATATGCAAGATACTGAAGTGGTTGGTTGTAGAGTGTGCCCGTTGGTTGTGGGTCTTGAGTTTCCCTCAGAAAGTATCCTGTTATCGTTCCTCGAGTGTCAATGTGTATGTTTCTAATAACGCTCTCTAATGTTAGGTTAAAGAGCATACAAGACAGTGAGTCTCCCTGTCTTAGGTCTCGTCTAATATGAAATTCCCTTGAATATTCTCCTTGAATCTTGATTTTGCTTTATGAGTTGTTTAGTGTTACATGTATCAGCCTTGTCAGTTTGGTGGGTTTGGAGCCATTCTTGTGTATTGGGGTTATTAATGCTGTTTCCCCATTCTGTTGGGATTTTCTCTTCTTGCCAAATTTTAGTTATACGTTTATGTATCTGATTGTGTAGTTCTTTTCCTCCATATTTAATCAGTTCTGCTGTGATGAGGTCTTGTCCGGGGGCTTTGTGATTTTTCATGTAATTAATTACCTCTTTGGTTTCTTCTAGGGTTGGGCATTGTATAAAAGGGTCTAGTCCTCCCTGTGGGGGTTGATAATCTACTTCTTGTCTATTGTCTGCATTTAGTATGTCCTAAAAATATTCAGCCCACCTCTCCACTACTTTACTATTTTCCGTGATTAATTCTCCATTGTGGCTCTCACACATTTGCGGTCTGGCTTGGTATCCATTCTTTTCATCTTTTATCTTCATGTACATCCCTCTTATATTTCCCTGTCTTGATAAATCTTCTATTTCCTTTAGTTTATCCTTAATACAAATAAAACTGAGGTCATATACCAACCAGCTCCTCGAAGCCCTACTGTTGAGCCCAACATCCAAGTTTAGAGTGAATGACTTAAGGTGCTGAAAGGCGTTTCCTATCTCGGCAGCACACTGTCCCAAAGCACAACCATCGATGACGAGGTTAACCTCCGTATTGCAAGGACCAGTGCAACCTATGGAAGATTGACTAAGAACGTATGGACCAGGAGAGCTATCAACACTGAAACTAAACTGAAGGTATATGGACGGTCTACCAACGCCATGCGAGAATGCTGAGAATGTCAGATGACCGTCTTCCCAAAATAATTTTCTATGGTGAGCTTCAACAAGGAAAGCGGTCTGCTGGCGGACAGAAAAAAGCACTTTAAAGACAACCTAAAAGCCTCACTGAAAGCGTTCAACATAAACCCAGACATTTGGGAGGAACAAGCAAAGCATCGAACTTCATGGCGTTCTACTTTGCACGGGAGCTCCATACAACATGAAGTCGGCAGAACAGCGGCTGCAGAGCGCAAGAGACATGCCAGGACAGTCGGTTCTAGAGGACCCCAGTCCATGACTTATAAGGCCTGGACAGTCTGCTCTAGTGGACCCCAGTCCATGACTTATAAAGCCTGGACAGTCTACCCTAGTGGACCCCAGTCAATGACTTATAAAGCCTGGACAGACTGCCCTAGTGGACCCCAGTCCATGACTTATAAAGCCTGGACAGTCTACCCTAGTGGACCCCAGTCCATGACTTATAAAGCCTGGACAGTCTCCCTAGTGGACGCCAGTCCTTGACTTATAAGGCCTGGACAGTCTGCCCTAGTGGACGCCAGTCCTTGACGTAAAAAGCCTGGACAGTCTACCATTGTGGACCCCAGTCCATGACTTATAAAGCTTGGACAGTCTCCCTAGTGGGCGCCAGTCCTTGACTTATAAGGCCTGGACAGTCTGCCCTAGTGGACGCCAGTCCTTGACTTAAAAAGCCTGGACAGTCTACCATTGTGGACCCCAGTCCATGACTTATAAAGCCTGGACAGTCTTCCCTAGTGGACGCCAGTCCTTGACTTATAAAGCCTGGACAGTCTGCTCTAGCAGACCTGATTCATAATGTCCAGTCCACGAGTGCAGCACTACCGCCACTTTTGTTTTGTATCCAGTGGCGGCTCCCAAACGACAGCAGACGCCATCACGTGACAACCACCATCACGTGACCCGCCATCACCACGTGACCCGCCATCACCACGTGACCGCCATGCCACGTGAACGCCGTCCTGTCAGGAGGTACCGGGACTAAACACGTGCTACATTGTCTTACTATTTCCAAGGGTAAAATTGAAAAAAAAAAATGTTAACACGGAAGGCAGATCACCCTAAAATGTTGACTCATTGCAAGTCTCATTATGAAAAGATATTCGTTCTTAAATATGTAGAAGCTGAGTCCGCGGTGATTGATGAGTTGTAAATCTAAATACTCAATTTCCGGAACAGACAGCTGTTACTTTTAACGGGGAATAGCACTTCCAGTCTCTGTATGGATACGCCATAGAAATATTTCCTATGTGGCGTTTGGAAGAGAGCAAGGCAGTAGAGGACAGCAACGCGGTAGAGGGCAGCAAGGCGGTAGAGGGCAGCAAGAGGGTAGAGGACAGCAAGGTGGTAGAGGACAGCAAGGTGGTAGAGAAAAGCAAGGCAGTAGAGGGTGGCAAGGCAGTAGAGGGCAGCAAGAGCGTAGAGGACAGCAAGGTGGTAGAGGGCAGCAAGAGGGTAGAGGACAGCAAGGCGGTCAAGACAGCAAGATGGTAGAGGACAGCATGGTGGTGGAGGACAGCAAGGTTGTAGAGGACAGCAAGAGGGTAGAGGACAGCAAAAGGGTAGAGGACAGCAAGGCGGTCAAGACAGCAAAATGGAAGAGGACAGCAAGGCGGTGGAGGACAGCAAGGTGGTAGAGGACAGCAAGGTGGGAGAGGACAGCTAGCTTTATTTGCAAAGTTAAACAACATAAAACTGGTCCCATGGTTGTGAACATGATTTTTTAAAATAAAAGGTTATTTTAAAGGGCGATAATGTCATTTTAAAGGGTGATAATGCCATTTTATAGGGTGATAATGTCATTTTAAAAAGCGATGTCATTTTAAAGGGTGATAATGCCATTTTAAAAAGCGATGTCATTTTAAAGGGCGATAATGTCATTTTAAAGGGTGTAATGTCATTTTAAAGGGCGATAATGTCATTTAAAGGGCAATAATTGTATTATTTATTGAAAATAAGATGTAGTTAAGTTGCGTCCATAAATATAATTTTTCATATTTTGACAATCTTTTAGATAATAGATCTTTAGTGTAAGGATCTTATCATGTAGTATCTTACTTAAGTATATGTAATATGTCACAAAAAAGTATATATATATAGGCCTATATTTATGCCACAAAACATAATAAATAGGCCTTCGTATTCCACACAACAGATTGTGTAGGCCTATATATTGCACAAAACAGTACGGTATATATAGAGATCTCCTTATTTTCCACAAAACAGTTTAAATAGAGACCACTTTATATTCCAGGAAAAAGTATAATATATAGAGACCTTTTTATATTCCACGAAACAATATATAAAGGCCTACATAAATTCCATAAAACTATATATAGGCCTATATAATTTCCACAAAACACTTTATATATATATGTGTATATCTATCTATATATCTATAGGTCTACATAATTTCCATAGTATATATAAGTGTATATATCTATATATCTATAGGTCTACATAATTTCCATAGTATATAAGTGTATATATCTATGTATGTATCTACCACAAAGGGACAGAAGGGGGGCGGCGGTTGTAGCAGGGTGACCGACATACACCAACCGTATGACCGACATACACCAACCGTATGACCGACATACACCAACCGTATGACCGACATACACCAACCGTATGACCGACATACACCAACCGTATGACCGACATACACCAACCGTATGACCGACATACACCAACCGTATGACCGACATACACCAACCGTATGACCGACATACACCAACCGTATGACCGACAAACACCAACCGTATGACCGACATACACCAACCGTATGACCGACATACACCAACCGTATGTCATAGAGAGTCAAAAGCCAGCCGTGCAGCATAGTAAGTAAATACAGACCTCAGCATCAGTCAAACGCCAGACGTATGCCATAGTGAGCCAGACATTGATAGTAGTTTGCGGGCCATTGACTGAGATCTTGGCACGCTGGGAGCCAATGGGAGCCCATGTGCACTCCAAACAACATATGGCTTTCTGTTTGCAGGTACCTTCAGACGGTGCACCGAACAACTCAAGACTCGAGGTGCTAAGAGGGAAATGACATGCACTGCTTGCGTTATCAACAGTCGCCGGATGGAACGTCGAGCACATTCAAGTGGATACGTGTTGTGTTGGGGGGCGGGGTTAAATGTGTAATGGTGGTGACTGATTCATGCCCAACATGTTTACTAAGCGGAACCTTCTTAATTTTACAGAACATTCAGGAAAAGGGTCACCCAGAGGATGAGAACCGCTGCTCTACCAGGAATGGCTGAAATCTATTAATAAATTAGATTAAGGTGTCCTAAACTGAACTCATGCGCATCACTGAAGACTCTTCAACACTACACAAGCACACACCCATAAGGGGCCATACAACATACAGTCCAACACTACACAAGCACACACCCATAAGGCCATACAACATACAGTCCAACAACATAAGGCCATACAACATACAGTCCAACACTACACAAGCACACACCCATAAGGCCATACAACATACAGTCCAACACTACACAAGCACACACCCATAAGGCCATACAACATACAGTCCAACAACATAAGGCCATACAACATACAGTCCAACACTACACAAGCACACACCCATAAGGCCATACAACATACAGTCCAACACTACACAAGCACACACCCATAAGGCCATACAACATACAGTCCAACAACATAAGGCCATACAACATACAGTCCAACACTACACAAGCACACACCCATAAGGCCATACAACATACAGTCCAACACTACACAAGCACACACCCATAAGGCCATACAACATACAGTCCAACACTACACAAGCACACACCCATAAGGCCATACAACATACAGTCCAACAACATACGATTATACACCACACACATGCACCCGCAACTAACCGTTTACTCACAAGCTCACCCACACAACCTACACTCATACACCACACAGGTAACTGTTTACTTACATGCACACCCACACAACCAACACTCATACACCACACAGGTAACTGTTTCCTCACATGCACACCCACCCACACAACCAACACTCATACACCACACAGGTAACTGTTTCCTCACATGCACACACACCCACACAACCAACACTCATACACCACACAGGCAACTCTTTCCTCACATGCACACACACCCACACAACCAACACTCATACACCACACAGGTAACTGTTTACTTACATACACACACACCCACACAACCAACACTCATACACCACACAGGTAAATCTTTCCTCACATGCACACACACCCACATAACTACACTCATAAACCACGCAGGTAACTGTTTACTCACATGCACACACTCATACAGACAACACTCACACACCATGCAGGCAACTGTTTCCTCACACACTCGAGCAATTGACCGTGATAACTGGTCCATGTTGAGTCAAAAGAGCTGAACTTTGCCAACATTTTGATGGAAGTCGTGACTCACGTGACCTTTGAACTTGATGCACGTAAGACACGGGAGCAGCATGTTTTGAACAAAGGGGGTAACGTCTCTGCTTCCATCAATTGACTTATGCTATGTACGTGAAGCTCAGGCTTCCTTCAATTGACTTATACTATGGACGTGAAGCTCAGGCTTCCTTCAATTGACTTATACTATGTACGTGAAGCTCAGGCTTCCTTCAATTGACTTATACTATGGACGTGAAGCTCAGGCTTCCTTCAATTGACTTATACTATGGACGTGAAGCTCAGGCTTCCTTCAATTGACTTATACTATGGACGTGAAGCTCAGGCTTCCTTCAATTGACTTATACTATGGACGTGAAGCACAAGCCCACCATCACCCCTCCACGCAGTGCATTGACACTGACCCAGTGAGTAAAACAATGGCGTAATTTGACTTTACACCAGCTACAATGAACTGAGTAAAAGCATTTGGTAGCACTATATAAAATGCTCTAGAACATGGCAGTGTTAGACCACGGGTAGGGCAGTTTTAGACCATGGGGAGGGCAGTGTTAGACCTTGGGGAGGGCAGTGTTAGACCACGGGCAGGACAGTGTTAGACCACGCCCAAACAATAACTGGGCAGTGTTAGACAATGACTGGACAACTAGGGGGCAGCGTTAGACCACGGACGGACCGCCACAGGGCAGTGTTAGACCATGGGGAGGGCAGTATTAGACCACGCCCAAACAATAACTGGGCAGTGTTAGACAATGACTGGACAACTAGGGGGCAGCGTTAGACCACGGACGGACCGCCACAGGGCAGTGTTAGACCACGGAGAGACACTCACAAGGCGAAGCAGAGACAGGCCGATCCCTCGAGAGAAAAATCTCCCACTGTATAATAACGTCATGTGAAAACAGTGGCAGATCATCGACACATGAAACAATAAACAGGTGTGAACTCAGGTAAATTTGGGGGTTATCTTGGCACATCATCAACACGCGGAACCGAACCCAGGTCACACTCGAGAAAAAGACCCGTCCAATTTTAGATTATTTTTATTTCTGCCCATTTTGTTTCAATTAAATCTGATGTTGCACAACTCATCCCTCTATTTCGTGTGAATAACAAATCTAGTGTTGCACAACTCGTCCCTCTACTTCATGTGAATAACAATTAAATCTAGTTTTGCACAACTCATCCCTCTACTTCATCTGAATAACAATTAAATCTGATGTTGCACAACTCATCCCTCTATTTCGTGTGAATAACAAATCTAGTGTTGCACAACTCATCCCTCTACTTCATGTGAATAACAATTAAATCTAGTGTTGCACAACTCGTCCCTCTACTTTCGTCCCTCTACTTCATGTGAATAACAATTAAATCTAGTGTTGCACAACTCGTCCCTCTACTTCATGTGAATAACAATTAAATCTAGTGTTGCACAACTCGTCCCTCTACTTCATGTGAATAACAATTAAATCTAGTGTTGCACAACTCGTCCCTCTCCTTCATGTGAATTAATTGAAACAAAGAAAAATAAACAACTCTTACACACAGAAGATTTTCCTATAAATCGTTTACATGCATTTTTTATTGTTTTTATTTTATATCACTATTTTGATGACCCACCCGCTGTTACACAGCAGATTTATTTCACCAACCATTTCAGAAAAAACAAAACAAAAGAAAATATTACGCTCGAAACGCACTTGCGAATTTAAAAAAAAAAAATATCTCATGTAATGTAGCGCAGTTTCGGGAATTTTATTTCCAAAAACCAGTGTCATCGCATTTCCTTCATTTTCCCCTTGAAAAACAGGAAAAGCTGATTTTTGGAAGTTCGGGCTGAAATTTAACAGAATGTGACGTCGTCGGCAACGCGTCTACGAGCCATGTTTCAGCTCGATAGTTTGACGGGAGGTAGGTCAATTAGCCATCCGAAGACTTTGCCACCCAGCCAGAAACACACGAACTACCACAGATTCAGTACACAGCACAACTTTGCTTGACATCAACGTGTGGGACTTGTGATACAAATGGGAGGGATCTACGGTGGTGTCAGATTTCTAGCCTGACGTCATTATTGAGCAGAGTTTTAAGATGAAATAGAATTATCCCCATAATAAAAGACACCGAATTATCCCCCCCCCCCTCCCCCAACAAATACGCACAAGGGTCATATTAAAAAAAAAATATCCTGGATTAACCAAGAAAACAGACAGGATTGGGATTAAGATAAAATAGAATTATCCCCATAAAAAAAGACACCGAATTACCCCCCCCCCCCCTCCCCCAACAAATACGCACAAGGGTCATATTAAAAAAAAAATATCCTGGATTAACCAAGAAAACAGACAGGATTGGGGTGAGAAACCTCAGATAAAAAGCAGACATTAGGGATAAAAGGTTGGCTGCATCTTCAAAGCCTGCCTGGATACCAACAACAGGAACCAAACTGAAGTGAATGAAACGCTTGGTGGTCTAGGCCTTCAACTAAACCAGTTGGCGGTTCCTTTTTCAATGTTACTTTCAAATCATTCTAAATATTTAAATGATTGGTCTGGACTAATGAACTCGTCTGGCCGCCGAAGCAATCATTTCTTTCGCTATTACACCAAGATTTAAAGGGGCTCGTAGCTTGTTCACAATGCTACTATAAACAGTTTTGAGTTGACAAACTGCAACCCTGACTGATAAAACAGTTGAGTGTTCAATGTGTAAGTGCACTCCTGATAATATGTTCATTAAATGCTCAATGTACAAGTCCACTCCTGATAATATGTTCATTGAATGCTCAATGTGCAAGTGCACTCCTGATAATATGTTCATTGAATGCTCAATGTGCAAGTACACTCCTGATAATATGTTCCTTGAATGCTCAATGTGTAAGTACACTCCTGATAATATGTTCCTTCAATGCTCAATGTACAAATACACTCCTGCGGATATGTTCATTGAGCTCAATGTGCAAGTGCACTCCTGAGAATATGTTCATTGAATGCTCAATGTGCAAGTGCACTCCTGAGAATATGTTCATTCCATGCTCAATGTGTAAGTGTACCCTTGATAATATGATAATTAAATGCTCAATGTGCAAGTGCACTCCTGAGAATATGTTCCTTCAATGCTCAATGTGTAAGTGTACCCTTGATAATATGTTAATTAAATGCTCAATGTGCAAGTGCACTCCTGAGAATATGTTCCTTCAATGCTCAATGTGTAAGTGTACCCTTGATAATATGTTCATTAAATGCTCAGTGTGTAAGTGCACCACTTTTAAAATGTTCATTGAATGATCACTGTGCTATTGCACCTTTGATAACATGTTAATTTAAAGGAGAGCGGAGAGCTAGTTAAGAGCACATCTATTTGACCTTTACATATGTTATTCAAATTAATATTCAGCATTACTTACAAAAATATAACCATTAATATATAATGTTGGTGAATGGGCACAGTAACAATGTCGGTGAATGGGCACAGTAACAATGTCCCAGAATGGACACAGTAATAATGTAAGTGAATGGACACAGTAATAATGTCAATGAATGGACACAGTAATAATGTCAGTGAATGGACACAGTAATACTGTCAGTGAATGGACACAGTAATGTCAGTGAATGGACACAGTAATAATACATCAAGTCAACCTTGACAAATAGTAAATCCACTACAACATAAAAACACACTAATATAGAGAAACAATCCAGCATTTCAACCACTCTATGTAAGCCACTCAGTTCATCTTTTCAACCACTTTATGATAGTCCACTCAGTACATAATTTGAACCACTTTATGATAGTCCACTCAGTACATCATGTAATTCACTCTATTATGCTCCACATATAATTCTACATATTCTTAGCCACACGAACAGCTGAGATTTTATCTTACCTTGTCTTTACAATCCACATGTACACGTCCAGAGTCTAGAACCCTTTTCAGTTGTTCTAGGTTACCCTGGAGGGCAGCAAGATGCATTTGTTGATCAGATGGGGTCTCTTTCTAAAAGATCAAGAAAAACAAGTTGATTATGTTTTTTGTCAATGTCAAAGAAAAGCAGTCTTGCAACTCAGATCCTATACAGAAATTCATATGAAACCATTTTGTACAGAGGAAAGTTTTTCAATGAGAAATTTCGCCAAGATAAAATTTGTTCGATGAAGATTTGTTGAAATGGAAACATTTTTATTTTTTAAAACTGTCAATTAGATAGGCCAGTGGGCGGCAAACTCATTAGTCAAAAGAGCCAAAAATCAGCAGCAGGGCGATTAAAAATTTTTGAGAGCCAAATTTCTTTTCAAGAACCTGTCAAGAACCAAGTTTTTTGGAGTCAAAATCAATTTGTGCCACATGCAGCTCGCGAGCCGCAATTTGCCAACCACTCACACTGAGATAGGCTATAAATAAACAATTTATAATGATAGCAATACTTATCGAAAGTATTCTTTTAAGTTTGTTGTATTTCTATTTCACTCAATTCAACAATAACTATGATATTTTTATAATTCGAAAAAATGTCCACTCAAACAAACTTAGGCCAACAGTTAGACTAGACCCTGCAACTACAACTAGTGATGTTACAACAACCAATTAGGCAACAACCAAGCCTTTACCTTAAGGCTGAGCCCGGTACTGACCGGAATACCTGGAAATGTGAGTATTAGCACACTAGGCATATACCCGAACCCAGAAAAAAAAGAGCCCGGTCTGGGTGTTTAAAATAAGGATAATATTCTCATTTTATATAATAATGTGCTCTTGCCATTGGGGAGGAATGAAAATTGAATGTACAAACCAGTACATCTTTTTTACATAATGTGCTCTACCCATTCATTTATTTCTTTTTGTGCTCTACCCATTGGGGAGGAATGAAAAGTGAATGTACAAAACCAGTACATCTTTTTTACCTATAATTATTTGTACAATTTTTAACTTAATTATTTAAATTTAATAGGTGAAAAAATTTGCTTAATTGAAGGCAGACTAGGATGGAGTCGCTATGATGATGACATAAATATTTATTAAAATATTATGGTAAGTTGGTAATAGAAAAATGAAAACTGTTACCAACCAGCAACACTAATTTTTTTATCTAAATGCTAAATAAAAAATTTAGTTATAAAATGATTTTAGTATTTTTGTGCATTTTCATTTTCTTTTTGTTGTGCCCAAAATTAACAGTTGGCAACTTCCAAGAGGGTAACGAAAAATTAAGTAGCCTAAGTAGCCAGAGTTAGTGATTAGTAGGATTGGCTGGGCTAGCGGCTAGGTCAATTAAATTAAAAATATAGCTCGATGGTCCCTACGGCCACGGCAAGGGAAGAAGAAAATTAATCACAGTGGCCAGTGGAAGTCCACTAAAACAGTGAAAATAGACATATTTTTCGATATTTTTCAATACCATATCCTTACCTTAAGGGACATAATGAAAAACTCTTAATGAGTATGGAAGACTATCAAATAATTTTGTTAATAAATAATTGTGACATGAATAATTTATTCCTAAACAATTACACTACTATTTCAGCAGAAGAAATAATAAATTCACGAAGACGAAGTACGTTGAGGATGTGTAGAATCCATCTTTCCGGTTTACGTTAGTATTGGCTACTATTATTATTTCAATACTCTGTACTCGATTACTATTGACGAGATCGATATTTAATTTGTTTTTCATAGGATTAAAACTTACTAAATAATTTAGAAAATAGTACATGACACTAACTTCAACAGAAAAATTAAAAAAAATAAAATAACGAATAATATGCCAAAATGACATTTATCAATTAAAATTTCAAAGTAAAATTTCAATTAAATAAAATAAAATCCTATAAATATTAGGCTATTCTATGACTATAGACTATAGTATAGTTTGTTTTTGTAGTGATAATAATAACAGTATAAGTCATTATCAGCCTATAAGTCATAGTCTCATAGCTTAAAGCCGTACGTTTTTTTTTATTCCACTATGTCAACGTTTACCCTAATAGTAATTAATTCTTATTTAATATGTCCAGGGCCGGATTTAGCCCTAGGCACAAACCCACATGGTTGCCCCCTACTGCCCGGCCCCCGATCCTCCACTGACTGCTGGTATGTTCAATATTATGCAAAAAACCAACAAAGAAAAACAGTTTTGAAATGTAAACACATATGTTTGTACTACTATCACTCATATAAAGCCTACAATAAGGTATTTCTGTATTAAAATAAATAGTTAATTAATTAATGGTAGACAAAAATACTGTAACTTTTTTGATAGACAAGAAAGTCAGAGAAAACACACATTTACATTTTTAAGTTCTTTTTTCTAGATTTACGTCTGGCAAAGTTTTTGAGTACATCATCAAAGTTAATTTTGCGCAACAAGTCTGCCTCAATCATCAGCAAAGATAAGGAATCAAGCCTTTCTTGTTTCATTGTCGATCTACTTGGATTTTTTTGTACGTTTCAACTGAGAAAAAGAAGAGCGCTCAGTTGAACACTTCGTAACCATTGATGTTAAAAATATGCGCATGGCGATTTCTACAATTGGAAAAGCACACTCGATGTTGTCTCTAACTATTACTTTGTAGAGTTCTGCATGACTGAACGTGTTGTTCTCAGATTTTGATGCACAAAACTTGTGGCGAATATATGAGTGGAACTGTTGTAGTTCAGTACATAAATTATTGTTCAGATCTTCAGGATAAGCATTTATTAGTCCTTCACAACACTGAGATGTTTGTGGTACATCGACCATACAAGAAATTCGAACTACTAGATCATTATACACCTGTCCTCGTCTACTCATCTCTGTCTCAAGTTTGTCAACAATGGTGTAGAAAGCAGTTATACGAAATTCGTCTCTGGCATTCTGTGATACCTCAGGAGGATCACCATGAATGACCACTGTCTTTCGTTTAAGATTACGGGTCAAAGTTGACTTATAATCCACACCTGGTGCATGTTATTTCTTTTGCAGCTTCTTCAAATCTTTCAAATTCATTCCTAGATTCATGCAAGTGATCTGCTGGTGAACAAATCAGCACACGTTTTCAAGATCACGTGCTCATTTTGTAGAGCTTCACTGACCCTATTCACAATTGTTTTCACTAGCAGACCAAAACGGAAGTTAATTTGTCGCTACGCATTAGTGCGTTACGAAGCACAAACATATCCCAGAAAATTAGAAAAACAGCACCAAAAAACCTTGAAGAAAAATAACAAGAAATAGCAAAAAACCTGGGTACGGGGTATTTCACCCCCGGGTTGTGGGACCAAGGTTAAATAATGGGCCATTCAATATTACATTTGCGATTTGCTTATGCCATGCAATTACGCTTCCGGGACAACATACACATTTTTCTTGATCACTTGTGGTGCCCCCCCACCCCCTCAATGCTTGGTGCCCTAGGCACGTGCCTTGTTTGCCTAATGGTTAATCCAGCCCTGAATATGTCCCATTAACTTAATTAATAAAAATAAATTTAAATAATAAATTTAAATAAGTTTGTCTTCGTATTCTTAGGGAATATTGTGTCATGTCCCCCCCCCCTCACCCCCACCCCCCCCTCTCCCTGTTGGCGTCGTATCAAACTGACAAAACTGGCAGTGGTAAAAAGTGTATGTGGTAGGCCCCCCCCCCAACCCTAGATAATGAAGAATAAAAAAACAACTAAAAATCTAAGAGGGTTAGAAAGGTATAGGCCTACCAGTGTTAAAATTAACAAGAACATAGGAAACACACAATCTTTTCCTTGGACAAAACGAATAGAATATCTTGTGACTATTGGCTATCAGCTGCACATTTTTTTTTGTGTAAGTACGTAGCCATAATAATATTTGAATATTCCTATAATATCTCAGAATTGCTTCCGTTAGTTTCAGTTGAACTCCAACATTAGACCTTATAGGCCTACTTAGAATTGCATTGTGATGTGCATTTCAACAATTATATATTTACTTTATATATTTTCATATCAGCAAATTGAGGGTCCGCCATTCTGTGCTGGAATCTAATGCTAATCCAGACTAAACCGTGACTAAACAAATTTGAGCTCTCTAAGATTAGTGGAGTTCAGGGGCGTCGGACGCGGGGGGAAAGGAAGCATGTGCTTCCAGAATGAGGTAGAAACAAAATCTCTCCTCACTCCAGCCTGCCGCCTTTGAATTTCTCCAGGAAACCAAATTAATGTGGGAGAGAAAAGTACTCGCTCATTGATGTTGGCAATGTGGCGAAATCACATTTTTGGTATGAAAAAGTTGAAGCAATGTCATACTGCTAAGGGGGAGATTATTTCGTTTTCACTTGTCTGGGCTAATGGGGGTCGAACTGCAGTCTAAACGTTTGGAAAAGACACATTTTTGACCGCACAGCCATCCAGTCACCTAACCAAATTTGAATGTTTATAGTTAAAAAGCGAAGCAATGATTATAGACTTAATGAACTTCCTTTTAAAAAAAAAATCATTAGATTTAATAATGTGTATGTATATACGTCTCTAAATCTATCTATACCTCTATACCTCTTACTATACCTATACCACTACCTATACCACTACCTATACCACTACCTATACCTCCTTATCCTATACCACTACCTATACTTCTATCTCCTCCTATACAACTACCTAAAGCTATACGTGCTCTTCCTATACCTATACCCCCTCCCCTCACTATACGTTTAACTCTAACTACACCTCTACTTAAACCAATACCTCTTCCTATACCAATACCTCCTCCTATACAACTACCAATACTTATACATGCTCCTCCTTTGCCTCTATCTCCCCCTATATCAGAGAGAGAGAGGGAGAGGGAGAGCTCCTGCGTCAAGGGTCTGGTGAGTCCCCTCATCTGCCCCCTGGTGAGTCCCCTCACTTGCCGAGTGCCAAAGTATCGAGCTCCTGCGGCAAGGGTATGATGAGTCCCCTCATCTGTCCCCTGGTGAGTCCCCTCACCTGCCCAGTGCCACAGTATCGAAAGCCTGCGACAAGGGTCTGGTGTCACCCCCTCTCCCACGACTGATTTCTTTTTGTTAAAATAATTTTACAGTTTAACTATGACAATAAAAAATAATAATTTAAGGTCAGGAGTTAAATTTATTTAATAACTGTAACAACGTCAAGTTATCTTTATTTTTACATTAAATTTACTTTATTTAACATTTTCCTTTCCTGGACTTCAAAGCTGCAAACCATTCAAACACTTTATCAAAATCATTATCCTTCACCGTATCACTTTCAAATGATAGCACAGCCAGATCAGTGGTGGATCATAAATAGTTCTTGATAGGTCTTAGTTTTGAAAAGCTCTGTTCACATAAAGCCACAGACACACAGATCGTAGGAAACATTTGAAGGCTTAGCGAGAGTATTGGAAGAAATTGTAGGAAGTCCCATTCAACTATGAATTTCAAAACATCAAATACTGACTAATCCCTGAAATTGTGATATTCAATATCATCTGTTTGTAGGTGACTTCTAAGCCTTGATATTTCTTTTAAAAGTTCATCTTTCTGATAATTAATCTCAGAAAGAGGCTAATTTTGGAACGGACACCAATAACTCTTGTTCCTTTGCTGATAGCAGACTCTTGGGTTGAACAGCCCAAAACATATCTGCTACTGCATTGATCGATGATAATCTGATCTAGCGTGCAGAATGAAAGTAACAAATACACTCCAGTATCTCCTTTCTTAAACCTTAATCTTCTCTCTACTGAAATTCCCAACTGACCTGATGTTCAAACTCCCAACTGGCCTGATGTTCAAACTCCCAACTGGCCTGATGTTCAAACTCCCAACTGGCCTGATGGTCAAACTCCCAACTGGCCTGATGTTCAAACTCCCAACTGGCCTGATGTTCAAACTCCCAACTGGCCTGATGCTCAAACTCCCAACTGGCCTGATGTTCAAACTCCCAACTGGCCTGATGGTCAAACTCCCAACTGGCCTGATGTTCAAAGTTATTTTGGTTCAACCCAGTGGACGGCGCTTCTTGTGCAGAAACAATCTTAAGACCCCCCCCCCCACTGGTTGGTCACCACTTTGTCCAGGGTCAAGCCTTTATTCTGCAGATGCTGCTGTGTAAGATTCACTTCCTCAAGTAGATCAGCCCAAAGGTAAAGGTAGCAGATAAACGTGACATAGCAGACAGCATGTAAAAGACATTGCTCTCTATGACAATCGTCCGCAAATTTTAAGGGGCAGATCTAGTGACGAATAGACGAAAATGCTAATTTTTGAGTATTTCTGGTATATTGATATATTTGGTTTCAAAAACACTTTTTTAAAAAGAAATTAAAAAAAAAAAGATTAAAATTAATTATTAAAGATATAAGAAAAGTGTGCACAATTGTATTTTGTAAACCCTATAAATGAGTAAAAAGTTATTTTTAATTTTTTTAATTTCACCGATTCGATTCATATACCTAGAATCGCCTGACTACATCGTAATTGATGTCAATGTAAAGCTTTATTTCTCATAGATTAGATAGATATATAGCTTCCTATCACTTACGAAAGTTGCCAAACACTTCAATCGGCGTTACATCATGATAAAAACGGCGTCTTTCTGACCTCTTTATAGGGTCACCTCATTTCCAACT